CATTGTATCAAGAAAGAATGGTTATTTGAACAAAAGCCTTGAATCAAATAAAATTGTTTCTAGATTGTGTGTGAATTGTTGAGGAATACAGCATCATTTATTTAAGGAGCAGGTATCTAATTGGTACTTATTGATAGAGTGATGTAATAAGTAGTGGTTGAGGTGTACAGGTGACATGAGTTTTGTCAACAAAATGACAATCTGAACAATACTTCTTTTATCATGTTCTTCATAATAAATATTACATATTAACATCATCAGCCAATTTTTACCCTCTGGAAGAATAAACCCTGTCGAAGACATTTGGCGTTGCGAAATATTGAGCATGAAACGCCAGTTGCATTATTGCTATTATTGAACTTATTGAACCTTATTATTATATAAGGTACTGAACTTTGACTCTGAACTAAGAGCTTAAAGAATTCAGCAAGACATCATTTTATTTAGGTTTCGGGGAAGGGAGGGTTTGAGTCTCCCAAATGTACAGGCCTAGGGTGGAGCAGACACTTTATTTAGAAATTAGGATTAGGGGTCTTGATATTGGGTTTTCTTCTGTTCTTATTCTGATCTGAAATTAGAAAAAATAACTCGCCCGATGGGCGAGAAGTATAGTATCTGTTATGTGCTGATTGTTTTAAGTTTACTATGAACAATATTATCATTTAAGTTCTTATTTCTTGAATATGCAACTATCATTTTCTGCTTATAGACATGGGGGAATTTCTCTTGAAGGCTCTTATAGTGGGCATGAACTATCTTGCTTGCTCGATTGCTGGTTGTATTAAACGGGACAACAAAGGGTGCTATGCCTACATTATGATGAATATTTAGTCCTATAGGTCTTGCTGTATTCAATGTCTCAATCCAATGGGCCTCCCTAGGTTGACGGAATTTGGTAGTTTCATCTTCGGGCAAGTCAATTTCTATACGCTCAATTGGGATTAGGGTGAGATCGTCTATTGAATGGTCGTCGAGGTTGAAATGATTAGAAACAGGCTTGTCTTTCTTTAATTTGATGCCTGACCTATGAGCATTAAAGCGAGTTCGTAAATTATTCTTAGTTTCTCCTACATATTGTTTGGGGCATTTCTTGCATGAAATTAAATATATTACATTCGAATGTTCACATGGTAGATGTTCCTGGATCGGGTACCTTTTATTCGTAGAGTTGCTTACAAAATAATGAGTTTCTGATATAAAGGGACATGTTTTGCATCTACTGGACAAACATGGAGCACTTCTTAAACCTGGAGGTACTTCGGCATAAAGTCTGTTTTTAGCTGCTATCTGTGCTAAGGTGGAATTTTTTATGTTTCGTAAAAATCGTTTAGAGTACCCACGCTCTTTCAGTTTTGAGAAAACAATCGTACAGGCTTGGTTGAAATCAGAAGATCTTGTACAAATTCGATGAAATCGTAAAACTTGTGACAATTATACCAGAAAAGGTATGTTTTGGGTGAAAGGAGCTCTTGTGCAAGAGTTGATGAGTATCAGTTTCTTTGAAATACACTTTAATATCCAGTTTATTTGTTTCTGCTATGGAATCTCCCTTAAAGACTGTGGTATCGAGAAAGTCTATGCTTTTGTCACTCACGTTTGCGGTTAGTTTGATAGAAGGATGGTTGTTGAGAATTTCAAAGAATTCCCAAAACTGTTCGATAGAATAAGTCCAAACCATAAAAATGTCATCCAACATTTACAAATTGAAAAATATTATTTGGTAGCTGTTATAAATGTTTATAAGCCTTTATTATGAACTACCTCTTGAAACAATACTCTGAGAAGAACTTGGGTTCACTGAGATTACGATCTGAGCAAGTTTCTGTAACAAGTGAAGCCTCTTTGTTGCTGTTTTTTTTTTACGTCAGTATTCTTTGGTTAACATTTTGGATAATGCTTATATTTGGTAGTTTATTGTTTTATCAATACAATAATAATTTGAACTATGACAGATTTTTTCCTCAAAATATAGGAATGATATTCCCATGTAGGGATATATAATGGCGTTTCCAACTTTTGGGAAAAGTTTTACTTTTTTTAAATTTCAATATATACAAAGATTTAAGTGCCCCATTTTCTTTCAGTAAAAGTTGATAATAAGCCATGCAGTCTACTTGAAATGAGCATCTAATCTATAAAAGAACGGTTGGTTGAATCTAATTAGAAGAAATTAAACTCTGACTTGAAATGATAAAAGACGTATGATGGCATGCCGATCGTCTTCAACCAAACTAGAAACGTTTCTAAAGACCCAAGAGAGGTTTAATTGTATAAGGAGTTGATTAGCAAGACTATACCCGAGGCCAGCTGCATCTCGGCAACTCATCAACCAATGTCAACAACTTTAATCATCATAGCCAGATTAAACCGGCATTTTTCCTTTAAAAAGATCGCAATTTGCTAATTTAATTTTCAATTTGGCTGCTATTAGGCAAACTACTGTGTGATTCCGTGCTTGATTTTGTGGCGATTTGTATTCAAGTAGTTCCCTAGTGAGTGTCGGGCTAGATTAATGCGATTACCATCTGAATGCATACAGACTCAAAAGAGATCTCAACTCTATCAAATAAATAGCCTATTGAATAAAGCATGGTTGTACGTTGAAAGAGAACAAGAGAAAAATTTGTCTGATGTGCTTTTGGCACAAGATGATGAGACAAATTAAGGAATTGAGTTTGGTCGGTTATCAGTGAATTACGACGTTATAGCAAATTAAAGAGCGTGCTTTATTGGTTGTCTTGAAAAGATGGTGATCACGTGATCCATTAGACCAATCCATTTGATTCGTCTATTCCTATCTAATTTCTCTCTTTGCTTAATTCTTTTCTTTCTGAACCATCAACGTAGAGTCTTCAGTTCCTTTTAATCCAATAGCCGAACTCATACAAGCCAGTTTTCAATTTCATCTTCTATTCATAACTAACTTCAGCCCGCCAAACATTATCTACCAAGACTAATAAAACCATCTTTCAACTCCATCGATTTCCTAAAACTTGTAATCGTTTTTCACCCAACTCGCAAATTTCCTAGTCGCGTCTGTAAATCGGCGATTTCTTATTAGTGTTGAGCATTTAAAAGCCAACTTATTTAAAAGGTCTGCCATTTAAGCCGCTGAAGACCGATAATCGAAGATTTCTTCAAACAAACACTTGTTTCGTGAATTGACCGTCGAAGCAATTTGCCTGATTAGGGCGCTCTTGACAGTCTGAACTTCACCGATCTTCTGCCAGAACGCTTTGTACGCGAGGCGATAATTGATTAAACGACGTCTTCTAACGGCACTTAAACAGATAAGTAAATGAATTGGTCACCATGAATCAAGTTTATATAGAGCTATTACTGACTTCACGCGAGCTTGGGGAGTGAAGCATTTCATTTAATTCCCCGCTTTCGATAAATATAAACGAATTAATACTGTATTTGACAGCCTATTGCCACCATCAATTGACGTCTGCCCGCCGTAAAATAAATACCCTCTTTTATCAACAAAGCGAGTAATCGAGCGAAAAATTGCTCTTACGCGCGGAAAACATCTTATAGAATGTTAAGCTAATAGTCTATTTTCTTCGATGATTTGTATTCTTATAAATGGTTTCAGCAATCTTATAATAAGATGTCATCGAGTCGAAAATGATATTAAGTCATTAGGAAACATAAAGCTATAACGTGATTAAATTAGTTTGGGCTGGAGTCTGGTCTCGAGAGAAAAGAGCACCAGCCGCTAGCCACCTAATTTTCCGCTCAATAGAGAGATTTCTTTATATTGATGTTAAGGCGTGAAGTTTTTACAATGATTAAATGGACCCTGGAACCTCACACTTCCTATCCTGAATGTGTCATGAAATATCTGCAATGAATTAATCATAGTATTTGGGGATATGGAGTAAATCAGTGTTAAGTGGCGTAAAATAATTGAGTAATAGCTTTTTAGATTTACAGATCACTGGAATTTCACGCACAGACTGTTTATTTGGATGAAAGTTGTCAGAAATCGGCGCCTCGGTTTATCTTCAGTACATCCCACGGGCGTCAGTATGTTGGTTTGATCCTTTCGGCTCTCTGAAAAGATCTTTTGATAAAACATTAATTTAATTTAAGGAAAACAAAACGATGGAAATCAAACAAGAATAAATAACACCATGTCATTTCGGTTAAATAAATGGAAATTAATAATACCATTTATTTCCCTAATACCATGTATTATAAATTGACGTATAAGATCTGAGTTCTCACTAGAATCACGTTTATAGGAAACGGTTTATTAAAACGTCTTGTAGAATGATTAAAATCAGTGTTCGGGGTAATTACATATAATAGGTTCGATAATATATTGAAGTACTGTTGGTCACTATTCAAGTCGTGCAATTTGCTAAGATTTTTCATAATATTTTTATGATCAAACGGTCATAGTTTAAGAAATTTCAAAAGGCATGATGGAATAGGTTTTGACCGTTGACTTTTTGACTGTTTTTTTCTAACAAACGTGACAAAGGGTTAGATAGTGTTGCACATGTCTTGCACTTTTTTCAGTTGCAATAATTATTTGCATAATGTGTTGTATTAGAAATGTCTTGATATATCTATATACTTTATATATTTATATAATTATATTTTTTATGATTAATATATAAATTATTATATTTATATAATTTGTATAATTTTTATAATTTATATATACATAAAAACAATAATACTAATTTTTAATACTGAGAGATACTGGGTATAGTATAAATAATATAAAGTATTGTAGTTTTAAGGTATGAATACTGGTCCAAAAAATAATTTTTAAAATTATTTTGAACGAACATTAAACCTTATAAGTATACATAACTATGGATAAGTTTTGATTTCATCACCGATTGTATCAATTTATTCGGGATTTCGATTGTTTCAATTATGTTTCTGTTGAATTATAATTTGCATTTGAGTTTGGTATTGTAATATTGTAAAGAGCTCGAATTATTTATAAAAGCCTTTCATGTTCTTAAATTTCAGGTGGCGGCCAGGTTGTTGGCAAATCACGTCGTCCACGAACAGCTTTTACTTCCCAGCAATTACTGGAACTTGAAAGACAATTTAAAATGAATAAATATCTGTCTAGACCAAAGAGATTTGAAGTAGCAACAACATTGATGTTAACAGAAACACAGGTATACATACTCATTTATTTTATGTTTAAAAGATATATCCAGTAGCTTATATTAAATATTCATGTATTTAATAAGGAGCGAAATAACTTATACCTGTCTGTAATGAGGATAATAGTCAAGAAATTTCAAATTAAAATCCTTGGCGATTACATAGTAGGCTATTCATTATAGTAGTGACGGGTGTCGCGCGCCAAGAAGACCACGCTTACTCTTTTCGAAACACATGATGGTACCTGGGGGAGTACAAGAAGTATATTGATGAAGCCTCCATCAACTATTTGACCGAACAATTTGTGTCATAATCGAAGACTATTCTACTTGAAAGAGATAATTCCTGGGAATTTTACTATGTTTGGAATGAGAATAAGTGAAATGTAGAATTTAAAAATGTAAATTACCAAAATAGATCTTGCTGAATTCAATATTTAACTCTTGCAATTTGTAGTTAGATATAATATATCACTGGAAACAATGTTATGAAAATGAGAATGATACCTTTAACAAGACAGTGTATGATTATTTAAATATATTCAATTGTTCACCTTCCCAGTTTTGTCTTCTGGACTCATTTTAATTTATCTGTAACTTAAATGCTTAATGAAGACAGCAATAGTCTGGACACATCTTATAACTGTTGCAATCTTTACCCAGTTCTTGAAACTAACACTAAAAACACAACAACTTCCCCTCTGGCACATAATAGGTCATTAGGCGCGTGTAAATGGAAGTTGAAATGTGGCTCTAGTTTGACTAGCTGTGGTGAAAAGTCACGTCCCTTGCCCATCCAGATTTAACTAACAAATACTGGACATTTAAAAGAAAACATGAACCATTGTTACAATGCTACTATTGTCTTTTTCCCTTAAATCACTTGAAGAGGCATGAAGGCACGCGCCTTGTCCACGATGAACTCTTTCAGAGACCAATCGAGCATGAGCCGCTTCACATGCATGGACCATTTTGTAATATTTCAAATGGATAGAAAATCTGGCACGAGTGGCCAACCAAGAAAAGACCAACATAAAAACAAATATGACGTGTCATTAAATGGATAATGTCCCCTTTCAATAGTTTGTTTTGCTAATATAAGAGATGTTGCGATGTTGATTTTAAACGACACCTCTATCAATGTGTCATCAAATCTAAAACAATAGTTCCCTTATTTCTTCTCATCGCTTATTTATGGCAGTTATGAACAATATCCAAATACTTCTGTTGACATTAGTTTGATCGTCGGAATTGAAGGTTTTCTCTCCAATGAAATGCGAATTTGTTCGGATAATAATTCAAACTATGTAACAAAGAGAACTCTTTTCTATTATTTGACAGCCATATTTGTAGGAATATAACTCTCTTGACATGAAGTTAAATAAAGTCATTAGTGAACTTCCTATCTAATAAAGGTATATTGATATAGTAACATGGCAAGATGTCTAAATTATCGTTATTTCAATGAAAGTCGCATTCTTTTAATAATTTCATATTCTGAAATATTGACTGATATGTGACTTTCATATAGAAATAACAGTACTCAGTTTGACAACCGACGTTCATGAAAAATTTCTGCTTCAAAATGGTAACGGAGCAGTTTCAACATTCAAGGTTTCGATATTTTGACTCCAAGCCTTCCTTATTTGAAGACAGTTGGTATTGGTTGGTTCTCGTAATATCTTGTACATCACTTGCAATATTTCCTTTGAATATGTTGGTAACTGCACCATGGTAATTTTTGTTAAGAAGTGATTATTGAAAAGTATAAGTTTATCGTAATTTAAAAGGCGATACTTTTGATATTGAAATGCTTTGTCTACAAATCGGAAAAAAACAAAGCCAAACATGAAACAAGTTAAAATATTGTTGAAAATCAAGTTATAGTCAAATCAATAGATTATTTCAGTAGCCCAGGGCATTTGTTGGTGATTTGCCGTAGCAAGAACAGGTGAAAAAATTGCAAGCTAAATTTTGACCAACTTTTAAAACTTTATTGATTTACGATACCTTTCCGCGCGAAAAGATAACTTTTAACATCCGTGTTTCTCGTGCTAGCCTTTCATTGTAGTCAAACTTCAAAGATTGCAAATGTTCTGGGTCATTGGTAACAGTTTCAACGATAAATTTGACTAAAAACCTTTAAGGTGATATAATTGCAGACAGTATTACTGTTAACACCATGGTTTATATTAGATGTTAGTGAATATCTGTTGCATATTTATTGGAAACATCTAATGTGTCGGTAGCATCACCCGTGCATCATTTTATTGAATTATTTCTTGATGATCTTGAAAGAAAATCTGTTAAGTTACTAGAAACTCAAAGAGGTATAAATTAACCGTCTTGAAGAAAGTGACATTTCAATATTTTAATCATTGCCTTAATGTGGGTGAAAGACAAATAAATTTCGGAAATTTCCTAATTAACGTCTATATTTAAATCGATCTTTTCCTTCAACCTGCTCCGTTTAAGGCAATTTAATCAGCGATCTGAAGTAAGTTATCTTTTCGTCAATGTCATAAGCGACTAAACACGTCCATTAGCCAACTGATTGCTTTTACGCACCAGTTAACGAATAATCTCGCGTGATTACCGTTTAACCACACGCCCTTCCTTTATCAATCAAATAAACTTTGATTAAAAAAATGTCAATTTCTTGAAGATGAAAGTTTCAAGAGCTTATTAATTTAAGCTCACTTTATTTAATGTTTTCCTCACTTCATCACCTTAATCTGTCAGTTAGCTGTGAAAATTATCAACTAAACTTCCTTTTTCATCGCCTTTTGAAACCACATTTTTACTCCCAATAAAAATGCGGTGATAAAACTTGATTTCGATGCAGAATGCTTTATATTAAATCGCCTTCGTACAAAATAAATAATAAGGAAGGTAAATTGACTTTTGTAACATATAGAGAGTCCAAGAGTCTGGATTAGAACATGAGAGATTTCGGTTGTACTTATAAAATTTTCCAGAATCATACCCAAAATGAGAAAAACTCGTACTGCAAAGCAATGGGCCCAGCAAAGTTTAGCCTTACAAGTAGTATTGAACATGCCGATCTTGAAAATAGACTTATATCTCATAAACAAGCGTTAACGCTAAAATTCATTTGAGGAAATTTTATCTTTGAACTAAATAAAACTACAGTTTGACTTAAATGATTTCTTCCTAATGAATAGGTATATAGCAACCAACACCAGGGCCACGCGAGCTTCTTGACAACCATGTTATGTACATCAAAGGGAAGGTACTGTAGATATGATAAAGGTATATGTTAAGATGGATATTATACAACATGTAGAAAGGTAAACGTGTTAGTAAGAGGTTTATCACCATTATCCCTATCATAAGTCAACAAAATATATTTAATAATCTTCAACCTGTTACCTGTCTTATCACTTTCCACTTGGTCTGAACAACTTGGATCTGTTAGTCGATAGAGAGTAATGCTGAATCTCCGCGATGTGTGCTGGTTATATCATTGCTTCGCCAAGTAGGCCTGTACACCATCTGCAAATTATTATGGCCTGAAGATAATGGAAACATGTATAGTAAAGCCAAAATAGTCCGAGTATATTAAAATGTTTGCATGGTTGTATGGGATAAGGTTTTTTTTTTAAACAAATGCGATTAGTTTTTTAATAGATCAGTAAATAAATGGTTGGAAATTTTCTGGAAAATGTACAAAACACACCGTGGTATGTTCTGCTCACAATTTCATGCAATGTATATCAGGGTTCATGGACAGTCTGTTACACCCTCTTCAACATATGTCAACGGTCTGCCAAGTTTTCTGGGAACAAGAAAGGATTGAAAGACCCCTTCCACCAGAGCTTGCCATATATCAACCAAAATGCATACAATTAACAATAAATTGTTTCTAAATCTGAACTGGGAATTATCCATAATCTAATATTAAATATGAAAACAATAGAAGATTTGTCTGCTCTTGGTTTACACTCTGGTCATTTTGTTGATTTATGGATTTATGTTGACGATATAACATACCTGTGTTACAATATGGCTACCTAGTCGTCATACCTGCTCGCTTTAAAACCATCAAATCAAAATACACCCTTTGTTGTCAAGATGCTTTCGTTGTAATGGGTTAAATTCGACGAAATACCAACGGAGTTTCACAAAGAAAAAAATAACTCTCTGACTTTATTAGGCTTAAATGGCTCAATTATGTAGCTTTACGTTGGTATAAATTGTTTATAAATTGTTTTAAGATTTAGATTCTCTTGAAGAAACTTTGGTTAATGTATAACCAGTAAATAAGGTCGATTTGTGTCGGGATTAGATGTAAAAACCAAGCTACACTGCGTTTACAAATTGAAATTAAATTTATTTTCTGTTGGCTTTCTATTCTTCTAGAATATAAATTGGTAAGATAATTCTCATGTGGTCCCTGAAAAACTATCATTATTATTTAATCAAACGACTTCAATCCACAAGAAGAATTTAACGTCCGTTCTTCTTCAAACAAAGCTGCAGCTGCACCATTAAAATAATTCTTTCTCGTTTTGTAATAGCATTTACCGACTCAATCACAGCCTGACTTTTGGATGTTAATAATAAAATCTCAATCTAAAACATTATGAAATGGTAAAAAAGTACTAAGCAAATAACGATTATTCATTATACAAATAATATTAGACAGAAATACCAAATTTGATGAAGATTTGTATATTGTTAGATCATAAGTTGGTACTCTTTATGTCCTGAACTCTACATATTATCATTAAAAACACTCTCAATTCACATTAACTACATTTCAGAATGACTAAAATTGGTAAATGATTCATAAATATTGAATCGCCGATATTTGTGAAGATATCTAAAATGTGTTCAAAGATTGCGATCTATTTCCTTTAAGACATTTTCATTGTATACTTGGATCCTACCAAAATCTGGCGATGGTATGGAATTCTGCCATGTTATTGTATTGTCTCTAATGAGAAACCCACAACTGATTCCGATTCTATTTTGCTTTGTTTAGCAATAATACTAGTTATCATATCAAAAAGTTTTTTCTTTATTTTTGCAGGTCAAAATATGGTTCCAAAACAGAAGAATGAAATGGAAACGTAGCAAGAAGGTTGTAAATGAGAATAAATCAAAGGATGGAAAATTAAAAGTAAACAATACAAACGACACTAAAATGGCGCGAGTAACAACCAACAGTGAACATGACTTTGATGATGCTGAAATGTCGGAGGAGGATGACGACGATGATTTAAATTCTCAAAATATTGATGTTACGGACATTGAGGACAACGATCACGACGACAACACTCGAGCAATGATCTGTTTTCCACAAAGATCACCGACGGAAATGGAACATTTGAATCCGAACCTTCAACCGGAAATGAATGGACGATGTAATATAGTGCAAGCCGCACATGCATGAAATTACAATATTGGGAAGTATGTGTGTTTATAGTGTGTTTTATATCATCGGGAATTAAAGTCTCAATAGAAAATGTACATGGGTGTAAATTTCTTAAGAGTGCGTTTCATAGCTCGGGTCGTTTAATGCAATGATGTGCTGAATTTGTTAATTGCGAGCGACACAGTCAAAGTAAGATAATAATTGGTGTATACTGAAAAAAGCAACAATATATGAACCCAATTTTACTAGCATCCATTGTTGCTTAAGACATACTTAACAATAGGATGAATAACAAAACGATATTATAGAGTAGTCTATTAAAAGATCGTGATGTATCATTCCAGTCTGAAATATGCATCAAACGACATATATGTAAAGTATCTAATCATATACGATATTACAATTCATTCCAAACTGTAACATTCACAAATATAATTCTGTATATTTGTATATTGAATATTTTAGACCATAGTCTTTATTTATTATTATTTAGTATTATGTTGTTATGAAATAAAATGTTTAGAGTACTGACTACCTTGATTCCTCCATATACTTGTAGTGTACTTATGTGGTGAAAATATGTATCCATCTTCCAGTTTCAGTAATGTATAAAATATATCCAGGATACAGTTCTCTCAATACTTTCTTTACTATACAGAATGTCAATTCTTGATACAGAATTGAGATCGTATTCAAATGCATTCTCCTCAAAAATAAAATATATCTGCATATTTATTGAGGGATTCACCTTTTTATATAATTATTTGAAAACAAATCCAGAACTATTTCGTTCTTGCAGATTTTATGAGAATAGCGATGCAGTTTTCCATTATATTTGGATGACCGAAACCTATTACTCAAAATGTCACGTTCTTCGTTCTTATACCTTGACTGCAATAACCACGATTCTTGTATTACGGAATGCGATGACCCGAATGGAAGGTATGCAAGAGAAGATATAAAACCGATGAACCTCAGATTATGGTCATAAAAAATAAATACAATTGCCATAAAGCCTAAACAAAATTTGGTGCTTAAAAAGGCCTTCAAGATCGACAGAGTGAATGCCACGTAACCAGGTTTTCAACATCTGCTTGTATTCATAGTTGCGTAACAATAAATTTGAATATTCTGGAACCCGAAATTCAACTTGTAGTCTGAACATTATTTAACATCCAAAGTACCAAAAGAGAGTTCATCATTGTATATATATGGAAATCTCGAAATTTATAAACTGGATTTTACATTTACATTCATATGTTCCATGTAATGTTCTTAGTCTCTTACCAAATTACCAAGGGAATACATTTATATACGAACAGGATACAGCTTAATCGACACACTCAAGACAAATTTATTAGTTTTTGACTACATTTGCAGCAAACTCGAAATTGTGCTACCCTATAGTATCAGCAAAGGATAGTATCGAAAACCTTACTTTGTTCTTGAGGGAGGTGGGGCACTAAAAACCATAACCAAAATTGACAGGAATTAACCTTGAGTTGATACACAAATTACGTGCCACATGAAATACTGTAAATCAGTTAAAAACTTTCACCAAATTAAATACGAATCACCATAACCTTGGTATCGACCAACAATAATCAAGACATTTTCAGTCAAAAGGTTTTTCAAAATGTAGCGCTAATAGTTGAGTATGATATCATACGTGATACTTTAAGGCAAAAATAACAGTCTAACAATAAAATTTTACCCAATCATTACAACAATTAGTAGGCATTCTCTCTCACTTACAATCACCACATTATAAATGAAAAAAAAACTCTATCATAATTCTAGTCAGCACCAGATAGTACCCGACCAATAGGGCACAATAAGCCATTTACGAAGTTGAAAAGAGATGAAATCGTTTTCCGATCAGCACGAAAATCGAGAGGCATAATCTTTGCATTGGTCAAGCCCACAAATAATAAATAAGATAGCTTGCTAGTCAAGATAACATACACACACTACTAGCTGTCAGAAATGATAAAATCTTTTGTGGCTTAATAACGAATTTTCAAATAATCATCTAAAAGTCAAGGCAAAAACCTGAAACAATTCATCAAATTATCATCAAATTCAAACATGAGCGATGTCTCATCGCTGTACACACAAGGGCAATAACATGAAACTGTTCATCCGAATATGGGCAATTTCTTACTTGACTGAGATTTCATCAATATATATGTGCATATTCAGTTTCATCAAGATTGGATAAAACTGTAGCCTCTATCGTGCCTACAAGGCAAATTTGACGCGTTTTCTAAGTCAAGGGCAATAACTCTTAAACCGTTCATTCGATTATTACCCATTTCGAACTTGACTGAGATCTCATCAATATATATATGCATATTTAGTTTCATCAAGATCAAATAAAAACTGTAGTCTGTATCGTGGATACAAGTCAAATTTGACGCTTTTTTTATTCAAGGGCAATAACTCTGAAATCGTTCATCTGATTATTACCAATTATGACTGAGATCTCATCAATATATACATACATACCTATTTTCATCAAGCTCGAATAAAAACTGTAGCCTGATTTCACTAATGATTTGGCCATTCTCTTATTATATGATTCCAATACGACACATATTCATCGTTCATATGAGGCCCTGGTCAATTTGTGTTATGTATTATAGAATTTCATATCTTATAGTGCTATGAAAATGAAAAAAAAATTCACATATAGCAATTATTAATAGGTCCAAGAAGAAGTTCTGTAGATACAGTAAACCATGTCGTACCACAATCATCTGACCCCTTTATCATCAACTAAAGTGTTAATTATAAACAAAAATAGCTTCTCACTTTTCTAATAGCAGGTCAGAGAGACGACTAAAATGGAATAAGCGTCTAGTTGTTAACCTATAGGCAAAGTATGCGATGGACTATGTTAAGAATGCCTCGACAGTTTAACAATACGTAAGAAATTATGGAGGAAAAACGTAGAATGTAAAATTCAATTCGACAGAAGACGAAACTGCTAAATGACGCCTTCTTATTCTGGATAATAGCTTAAGCGTGCGAATCGCGTGTATAATTATTAATTTAAGCAATAAAAATAAAGGAAAAAATAAAGAAAATCAGTTTAACAAGTGAACATGTTGCATGTATTATAAATCTTAGTTAAAAACTAGAAAACAAACAGAGTAAAAAGTCAGCAATTATTAAGAGTTTAGTAATCAATAGCAATTCTTTGTTTAATATTAGCTCAATCTTTGCTAAAGGAACAAAATAATTGCCTACTTGTCGCTCCAAATAGTCAACAATAAAATAGAATGATTTATGAAATTGGCTTTTATTGACACTAGAAAATGTTAGTGTCCCGTTGGTGGACATTTTTATGACAAGGGTACATTACTCTAATCAACTCCGACCCTCCGCCTTGTTAGGCACCACTGATGATCACATTAGTGATATGAGATTGTTTTTCTGGCAAACATAATATCATTTTTCAAACGTCTTGTAGCTCGATCAAATAGTGTTAAAATGGAGTAGGAAATAAAATGGTATTGATCTCTATTTCAACACGTCCGCATTTGATTGTCGATTGGTCATTAGACTGAATGGTTTTGTCCATAGAGGGCGCTCAATGTCAAGAGTATTTTGACATCCGGTGCTTAATGTGGCGTTGATAATAAAGATGACTTATAGGGGAAAAACACTGATTTATCTTAGAAAAATAGTGTGAACATTAAGCTAAGTGAGGGCTTTTACTGTAATTACTACACTGATAGTTCGCTTCAACTCGTCATTTTAACTTGTTTGTTGAGAATCCAATAGAAATTCGATCTTTTGATTGATTCGGCTATTAGCAAATTGCTCTCTTCAAGAATGCTCAAATTCATTTCTCACTTGATTTACGAGTATTTTATGAATCAGTGATATAAATTTTGTTTTATTCTGGAATATTTGTGTATGAATGAGTTGAAATGGGTGTAATAATATGAGTTTACAGGCCATTATTTCTAATCGTATTTGATATTTTAACACCAATATATCATAGAATATCGAGATTAAATATCGTTAGATATCTTCTCTTTCTAACCATTACATATTTTATTACTATTTATTAAGGATTACTTTAATATTCTCATTATCTACAGACATGCATTTTCAATCAATTTATGTGCAATGGGTTGGAGAAAAAAGTATAAATTGTTAAATGAATAGCTGCATTTATATGTTTACATCTAACTGTTTTCTTAAAGCATAGAAAATAAATCTCTATCTTTTATAACTGTTCTAAACCATAACTTTTGTTTCATTCATTTGCGACACCACCACAGATAAATGCAAATGCCCAAATGACATAACTTGTCACGAAAAGACATAGAAAATATTAGATTAGGTTACATTCTTGTTGTGTTTTTTTTTGGGGAATGTTCATGTGTCACATTGGTTTTTTGCTGAACGTTTATTTTTTACATTGTTTTTTCAAGAATTATTCGGGTATTCGTGTTAAAACAACCTGCTATTGGTGAAGACAACAAAACTTATATTTGCCATTTTAATTGTGAAGATTCAATCATCTATTTAAATATTTCAAATGTTTTTTTTCTGAAAAATAAAGGACAATTACTTTTATTTGATAGAAATCGAAGGAAAACCGCGAAAATATGATCTCTTAATTCTGATATTAACATCAAATTCATAGATAAGAGTCGGAAAATATTAACCAAATATTTCTGAAGAAATCTCTTTCAAAAATTAATGATGGGTTACTAACTCTTAACGATTAATTTAATATTCACTGCATATAATACTACGTCATATGTGATTTAATTAAGGCCAATGATTTCCAGACGATTGAAAAATGGTAATAGAGTATTATATTAATACACTTAGAAAAGACTTGTATTCGATATGATTTAATTAACGAGCCCATTTTTATTAGACTCTAGAGTATTCAACTTGTATCAACACCAAGTTTAACCCTTTCCGATTGTCTTCAAACTTTCACCACAATTACAGTAATCAAATCACACTAAACTGTTCATTTTCACTCTTAACTTTATTCTCTTTCTTTAAATTGATTTACCGTCTTTCTCAACTGATTATGTATTCATCCGCAGACCACTTCAAATCTCTCTTCTAAAGCTTCCAGTAGATGTTGAAATTCGGGGCCATATTTAGGTTTATGCAGGTTTATGCTAATGAATTCAATTGGCTTTTAAATTCTGGTTAATTATTTGATTAGCGGCAGTTGTTCAATTAATTTGCTTGATTTTGTCGTTGAATCTAATTAAAGAGAATAGAGCGGTTGACTAGAGACAAGACTTATTGATTAAGAAGTTTTTATTATAGCGTCTTTTATTTCCAGTTAGTTATCAGTTTTTGATTACAGTATAGAAGGCTGAACTAGTAATCACTTAGATTAAATTGATACTTCATCTAAATTAGATAATAAGCCTCTTCAAATTCCCCGCTATTATAGAAAATATTTCTTAATTCGTGCATCTCCATCACTTTGAAGTGTAGTAGTCATAAGAAACTTTCTTGTGTAAGTGGAACTTGGGGAAGTTTAAATACAAGAGAACAAAATCTCTGGTCAAATGATGATGGTCACCATAACATATCTTTTCCGTGTCGTGTTGAGGGCGCCGGTTTGGCTCATCAAGTTACTTTGCTCCGATTTGAAGAAAACCTGTACCAGGTGTAAGCATATAACGGAATATTATTTGGCACAAACTTGCAGCAAAGATCCGCGTAAGATTTTTATGCGTAAGAAGATTATACCATAATAGAGTTTATCTTAAAATATGTAGGTCAGAGTCATGGCATTTTCAATAATATCGTGATGCAGATCATATACTGAAAGCAATGACTGTCTGAAAAGAAGACGTATTCTTCGCCAACTCTCGCATAGTCAATCACAGCGGAATTGACGTCATCTTTATTAAAATAATGGATCTTTGGATACAGTTGAAAGTCGACGTGGCCAAATTCGGAAAAAATCATCGGAATTTGTTTCAAAACGGCATAAATAGTCACTGGACGTCAAGAATCGGACATGTTTCTGATAGGCTGTTAAGAACGTTGGCACCCATCTTGCCAACTGGATGGTGATAATATGCTCAACTCTCTCGTGATAAATGCCCACAGCAATAACAATCATTCTGTCATGCATCTGATAATATAATATTTTGCTTAAAGGTTACTGTTGAAGGCCTGTCTCAATCGTCACAAGATGGTATCGTACAAAGACAATAATAACACTATAGTTTTAGTTCTTATGTTTATGATTCATTATATGTAGCCTACTTCTCAGCCAACCATCGTACAAAATATTAAAACACACTGTGTTTTATAAACATCTAATCCAATATTTTTTTGTTTTTTGGATTGCGCCTATGATTTCAGAAACGCCATGGAAACTCCCTTCAATTCCTACTGTGTATTCCGCAATTTTAAGGATTTAATCTGCGCTTAGATGAATGCTCGGTTTAGAAAGAATTGTTGACAAACACCTCTTCATACTATTTATATCAAGGAAGGAATAAGCAAATATACAAATACAATATGATAGCGGAACAGAACAACAGTTGACATTGCATAAAATGGCGCTTTACGCTTGGCAAACTAAATGAGCTCTTAAAACGACTAGAATAGGCGAGGTACGGTGTGGGCACAATTCGCTTATACCATTTTCTACTGCATCGATTATCGAATAACGTTCCTCGTCTATTCGAAGCTTAATACCCAAGGGCGAACACATGTACACCTTGTATAGTCTAAAATTATAATCTAAGGGAGATAACTGCAGTGACTGCAATAGAATTCAACGATTACCGATACCCCATGTATACAACTAGTCTTTTAAATCTTTTGTGCTCTGTACTATTTCGTATAGTCAAATGGAATGTTGATGAATATTGCGACTTGTACGTAACAAAATAGTACAGAGCACAAAAGACTTAAAAGACTAGTAAACATGGGGCATCGGTAATTGTCTTAGTGACAATATTCATCTGACATAATCACCAAGATCGGATGCCACCTTAGAGGTCGAAAGCTTATTTCCAAACCACAAATTCGCCTAAGGGTGTGGATCATTGGGTTAGCGTTCACCAGTATGAATAGAAACATCTATATTTAGTGTTCTGTTTTTCTTTTAATTTCTTTCCAGAAGCACGATCAAGTCTGCATTACAGAGGCGCATACGAGATGAAATGTAGCTATGTATGTATCATAGAAGTGGGAGATATTCAAATATAAAGGTAGATAACTGCGAATTTCAAAGAATTATACAGACTACCACCATTTTATGTTGGGCACGAACACACATTCAGGCATTGGGGGGAACTTTCATTTGTACACTGATTTTATCTTATAGTGGGTTATTTATAAAATACTGGAAATTGCTTAACAATATTTTATACTTATAAAACAATAAACATCAATATATCGATATAATCTATAATAATATGACTAACACATGTTAACGGTTTTGTCTTTGGTTTTATTGACCATTACCGACAGGGTGACTATTGTAAAACAATTTGGTTACGGGATGAGATTCAAAATGTAAAACATGTTAAAGAATGGGAATCAGATTGACAAGTCCGATTAGGAGCTATCGCTGAACGTTAAATGAAGTAGAATAATATTATACAATGCATACAATTTCACAAAACCACTAGGATACAAGACGTGAACTTGCACCTTGCATTAGTATTCTGAATATACCAATATTTAATCCATTCAAAAATTCGAATCTTCATCTTTCTCATCTAAAGTGATATCGCCCTATAAATATCTGCTTTATAAGCTAAAAAAGCAAATATTTCGAGCTGCAGCATATTACACTGTAGAAATATCATGCATTGATGATGCAAGTGGCATTTTCTCCTCGTGGTTGTGATCTGTTGGAACCATTATGGGGTCATCACTTGTTTTGACAGCTTCATATGACTCGGAGCCAAGGCAGCATGATTTTATACCAGAATTGGATGATGCAACAGAGAATATTTTATCATACACAAAGGCACCGGCTGCTCCTCCTATCAGTGGACCAGCCCAATATATCTGCAACAAATCGCAAAAGTAAACAGAATAAACAAACAAACAAAAAACAAAACAGGAAAAGAAAACAATGATATATGTGAATTTGTTTTTTTCCCTTTACTTCACTTTTATAACTTTTATATGTATAAATTAGCTTTGTGGATAATTAAATCTGAAATCATCATGAATTACACAAGAAAGACTGAAACAGTAACGTACTAAACCATAAAGTACTGACAAACAAAAGATATTGACAATTGAAATGTGCCCCGTGGGATATCAAAGTATTTACAGTTAGCTTATAAAATATACATTGAATTGAATTAAAATAAAATAAATACATATATATATATATACAAGTAAATACTATTGTTTATTGTTAAGCATGAATAATGCTTGTTGACAGATGAGGTATATAGTTCAGGTTCATTGCTCAGTTACTAACAAATTGTCTACTTTTGCCTCCAGGTACAAATATTTGTTCAAACATACAATTTTGTTTCAGATCGAATAAGTTTATTTTATGCCTATCAGACCAGTCATTCGTAAGTAAAAGTCAATTAAAATTATATAACGATGTTCAATTTGCCAGTTTTTAGATTTAATAAGTTGATTTTATGCGTATCAGATCAGTCATTCGTAAGAAAAAGTCAATTAAAATATACAATCTTACCCAATGTTGTTGCAAGTTACCAGTAATCACTGCCGGTCCAAAAGCTCTAATAGGATTCATGGCGGCCCCTGAAGTGTTACTCTGAAAAAGTTAAAAAACAAAAATATAGCGATGACCATCGTTATACGCCAACAATTGTAATGACAGGCAAGATGTCCGGAGGTTGACAAGAGCTATCAATAAATTAAATACTTCAAGAGCTTTATTCACAACCTTTTTTTAAATTTTCGATTGGGTTCATCCTTAGATAATATTAAACAATTCCACCAAGTTTCGTCTAAATCAGTCAAGAATTGTGTCTTTTGAGGTGTTTACAAGCTAAAGATTGAACAATATCAGAACAAGGGCGATAACCCATATTAAATATTTTTCGATTTTTTTGCTCGCTATTAGGGTTTATCCTTGATTGATTAACCGAGGTTCTTTAAAAATCGGTCGAGAATTGTGCCTTGAACGAGATTTCAAGATAAAGGGCAATAACAAAATTTTCTCTTTCAAAATTCTCACAGATATACTTCAAGATTTAGTTGTCCTACCCTGAAAATATGAAAGTCACCGAATATAAATTGTGCAAGCACTGCTCCGAACAAAATAGCATGTCAAAAAAATGTAATATCAAGGCAACTTATTTTCAACCTGTGTTCAATTTGCCCCCCATCTTTTTCAACCATTCGAGAATTTTGAAAGAGATCAAACAAGAGATACTTTGGGACGTTTCTTTTTAGATATCTATAGGGTACATCATTGGGAAATAATAAACAATTTCACCACGTTTCATCCAACTCTGTCAAGAATTGTGCCATATAGATCTTTAACAAACTAAAAATTGAACACGATTTCAAGAACAAGGACAATAACTCATATCAAATATATTTTGAATTGTCTGATTTTCAATAGGGTTCATCCTTAGGGGATAACAAACATTCACACCAAAATCCATCAGGAAACAAGCTTTTTATCGTGTCCACAACACAAATTCAATTTTAAAGTTGAAAGCCTTTTCAAGAACAAGGGCAGTAACTAAAATATTTTTCAATCTGTCTGATTTTCAAAAGGGTTCATTCTTAAGTGATAACAAACATGGACACCAAATTTTATCAAAATTCATCTATAAACCAGCACTCTATCGTATCCCAATCACATTTTCAAACAAAAATTGAACGCTATTTCAAAAACAAGGGCAATAACTCATATCAAATATTTCGATTTGCCTGATTTTAAAAACGGTTCTTCCATAATTAATAACAAACATTCATACCAAGTTTTATCAAAATCCACCAAGAAACCAGCTCGCTATCGTATCCACAACAATTTTTCAAGAACTCATTAAAACTCATATCAAATATTTTTCGATTTGCCTGATTTTCAATAGGGTTCACCCTTGGGTGTTTACAAACACTCACACCAAATTTTGTCAAAATCACCTTAATGTGTGGGCGCATAAAAACACAACTGTGAGATATTCAATATCCTTAGATTACTAGATGTCACGCCACCCTTTTAGTGCTGAAAAGCAGAAATTCAAAACGTCACTAAGTCCATGATAAGTTCTTTCTTGGACAGCAATGCAATTATTTGCTGTTGGTGTAAAGGGAGATAATCTAAGTAAATCAGTGTGAAAAGTTAGGTTAATAAAACATATCTTCGGATTTGAATCATGTAATCTCAGCTTCAGGGGCCCCAGTGCTTACTACTGCCTGCTCAATAACTTATTATGGTCATGCATTAATAATCAATATAGCGTGGCCCTGAAATCAGGCAGAGCATTGAAATTTATCTAGTATTTAAAGATGAAATAACGTAAAAACATTCATTCACCAAGAATTCTTGAGTAAAATGATACGACGCTGCATACTGTGTCCCTACAATTTAATTATAAACAATGGAGAGCAAGAAAATATTAGACAGTGAAGAAATAGTGAGTGTTATATATTCAATTGTTCAACATAGTAATTTGATTCCAAGTCGATAAAGAAAAATCTAAATAAGGTTAAACTGTTATCTGACCCAAATATCTTCAATCTTAATAAAAATTGTACCTTACTGTTTAATATTTATCAGAATAATGTTTTTGAATGAGGTCCATTATTTTTTTTATCAATATACATTTACTGTGTCATAATTGAACCCAGCAGCAAGTGAACAAAAATGGACGACTATGTAAATCAAATATTTCAATTAAATTATTTGCTTTCTATTTTATTGATGAACCAATGAATATGAACTAAAAATATGTTACTTTGTATACTACTCTGCCGATTCGCAGGAAAGTATTTGGAATAAACTATAAGATTTCCCTGGTGTTGCATTCTCAATTTTTTGCATAACGAGCCTCAACCCCAGACACTTTTACATCATCGATATGGAGACAGCACAAAGTAATGGCGTTTCTTTGATTTAGTGGCCTTGGCAACAAATTGTCAAAGGGGCAAACGGCTCATTTAAGATCTCAATGAGAAGAAATATGAAACTGAGAAGTCAAACCCGAGCTAGCCTCATTTATGGAGAAACGCAGCTTGATTTAAAATGTAACGTTGTTGTGTACAAAGTATGCTGTCGTGGTTATGGCACTGAAGGAACTGGTATAACCCCAAAATACTCAAGACCTGAAGGATTGTTCTTAGAAAGTTTACCTCGATTAACAAAAAAGATCGCTTATAAGTTGAAGTCGTTTAATGAAAGTTTGTTCATATAAAATTGAATTTAGTGATTGTATATGCAATTTAATACTTATAGTATTTGAAATAATGTTTTTAGTGTTTATTTAGATCACGTATTATTTGAAGAAAACCGCATAATCAGATCTTGTTACAAAAATCAAATATTAGCAAAATTGAAACCAACAGCGAATGGTACGGGATAATTACATACAGGTTTGTTATTCGATTGTTATTTTTAAGTTTATATTATATAGTATTTGTTAAAATAAGGAATAGGATTATTTGGTCAAGTGGTTGATCCAATCATATAAGAATAATAGTTCAGATCAATGACTTGGATCTTTTGATCTACTTCCAGCAAACATTATTATATCCAGATTATAAAACCCATTTCATTATACTTGACTTTTAATCAGATTACCCTTGAATCCATAATATACACCGTGCGGTAAAAGATCAAGATATTGAATGGCAAACCCATATATCATGCCAAACCTTTGACAAATCTTATTTCGTATTTTTTGCATTTTAGCTTAAGATTGCAGCTAATCGGCGCCTACTGTACTGTCAGGATACGCAGCACAAACTTTAATCCGAGTAATATTCACAGTATCTTCAACCATTCGCTTCTTCATGAGCCTCTCAGATGTAAAAATAAGAATTTCTAACGAAAGGCAGCTATACAGTCTGATGACAATGGCGAGATCCAACTACAGATCAAATGGTCAGCGGGAAAGCGCCTTACTGTTGAAACAACTGTGGTTTTCCCGCCTGTTAGATAATTGAATAATGTTTCTTGCTGGAAACGTCTAGTATATATATATAAAAAAGTAAGGTCTTTATGACGAACTAAGACTAAGGTGATATAAACTACGCCTCATTGAATTAACCACGGAAGTGTTTTTTTTTACTTGTACAAAATCTATTTATGACAAACTTTTTGTACCAAGGTCCCCTCCGTTTGTTTTAAGGCTGATATCATCTACACATTAAAGAGAACAATTTGTGCTGTGGACATAATGTTTTTGTATATTTTTCGTCTTTCGTTCATTAGTAGTGGTATTCAGGTAATTATTCTTAATAGTATATTCTGGTGATGTCGAAAATTCAAATACCCTGCTACAGAGTTAAATATTAAATTGAATCAAAGTGGCAATTGTCACATCAGGATACGATGTATGTAGAATTTCTAAAATTGGAAATGTTGTACACGGGAATGGTGCAAAAAGAAGCTATACTTTAAATGCCCCCCGATGCACATGAAAAAGTTATAAAGCATAACGTCTTCAAATGGCATGTAGCGATTATGAGTACAATATAGACACAGCTTTATGGAACAACAATCACTGCTAAACCTTTTGAAAATTGGATCACGTTAATCACTTGTTTTCCATTTTATAAAATCAAAATTAAAATCCGACAAGTCCGTCTTCAATTCACAAAACATTCTCTCAGGCTGGTATTCTGGCATCATCAGTAATCGCAGCGTTTGTCGTTTTTGTCGTTCTGCTGAAAAGTTACCCGATCCTCATGATTGATACTCAAGAACTCAAGAAGTGCTAAAGCAGACTACTACAGGCTAGTCTATAAAATCTACCTGTTCGTGTACAATAATGTCCTGAGTATTGTTGATGCAAGTATAATAACAAATACTTACCCCATAAAATATATTCACACAAACAACCAAGCCAACCATAAACGGAATGGATCCTTTGACATCATTCCTGTCTTTATCGATCAGGGCGAATATTGCGAATAATAAGAAAAACGTTATGATGATTTCTGTATATAGAGCTTGCTCGGCTGTGACATGCTTGGCTGGTAGTACTAATCCAAGGTTACCAATTTTAGATGCTGGTGTAATAGCTTTCAATAAAGCAGTACCAGCAACTGAACCTCCTGCCTGAGCAATACTGTAGAAAATAAATCGAACAAAGCTAATCTGACGGTTCACAGCAAAACCTATAAAGCAGAGAACAATCAATACTTTAACTAAACTTCACGAAGGGAAGGTCAAGACGTTGATCCTTCACATCCAATCAAGTTAAATTTTCATGTTAAAAAGATTTATATACCTCTATGAAAATTCAAATCATGTATCAAAAATGAACTAGCTATAGAAGTGGAATATGACGTTTTAATATGACGTTAAAATGTTTTGATGGATGGTGTTGATGTTTAGGCAGCAACTGTCATCGTGAGTTTACAAATAAATATCTTACCTATACTAACAGCTGGGTTAACATGTGCCCCACTCACTGTTAAAAACACCGATATCAACACAGCTATTGTAAATCCTGAAGCTAGAATATTATGTACACTTCCATGCCCACGAGTTCCTTCTTCATGAAGTCCAGCTCCTACAGCAAATATCAACAGAAAGAAACAACCAAGAAATTCCGCCACAACGGCTTTCCAGAATGACGGTTTGCGCAAATCATCAATTTCTTCCATTAGTAGACGTATACACAAGTTCGGTGAAGTGCTATCCTGACTCTCTGTAGTTTTATTCAATGTTTTAACGGACATTTGTTTACAGCGTTTATAACGATAGGTAACAAAAGATCTAAATCTAAATGCTTCAGATGATCAAATGCGGTATTCCAATAAGATCACTTATATTTTCTGCTTGATAATTCACAAAATCCCACAGGAGGTAATATTTCAAAAATCAAAATCGTCAAACGTTAGTTTGTATGTAATATTTATAAGAACGTCTTTGGGTGAGTCCATTTCGACAGTTATATTTTTATAGGTATATTTTGACAATATAAACCTACCAGTGCTTGACGAAAAGAAAGACAATAGTATTAATTATCTAACTGTGAGAAATCGAACGTTTAGCTCCATCCTTTAAGGTTGTCTCTTTGACATCGCGATCCCGTTATTTCACTTAAAAATAATTTCAGCACTCCCCAAACATAATAATAAAAAAGCAAACGGAAATTGAATTTTGGACTTCGAATCTTTCTAACAGATTGTACAGGACAACACCGGTCAATGAGCTTCTCCAATATCTTCAAAATTAGATAATGATTAATTTATGTTCAATGCAAATAATAATAGTTTTATTGCATGCACATTTATTACTTTCATTTTTTTATATAAATAAAGAACTCCATTTGTGGAGTGTCATTTAAAACATATAATTTAAAAAGTGAAAAGTTAATTTAGATAAACTAATTCTTGTCCGAATGTCTAATCTTTTACAAATTACATGATGTGCTTTTGAAGAATGTCATTGTTTCTATTTATATATCAACTTATTCTATGAATTGGTAATTGAGAATTGAATGGATGTGGACTGAACATGATGATACATGATTAACAACATTCATTTTCATACAAAAACACCACTTATATAACACTGAGTACATAAGTGAAAAAATGTATTCATTACGCTTTTATGTGAACAAAATTCTATAATTGTTACTATTGATACTTCAGAGCAACTTATCCCTATTACGTATCAGATGTAATCGAGAGTCTCTGTTCGCCTAGCCCACATTGTCACCCACAAATAAATAATGTCTGGCGTTTCATTTCATGTCGATGTCTACAACCCCGCATAAACAACGAACAAACCTCCAAAAGTTTTGGTTTTCAATCCAAACAGGAATTTTCTTGATGATTTAATTGTTCTTCGAAGATGTACAAGATCAGATGCCAGAACTGCACCTTGCCATCTCCTCTTCAATCTACATATATATATTGCAGTACCATGCAGTACCATGCATAGGTAACGGCACATTTCTGCAGGCAGAATAACATCGCTTAAAAATATTATGATTGAAACTTTAGATGGATACCATCATAAGAGAAACGTCAGATTATTTCTGCTCCTTTGCATTTGCGATTTACAAAAGTAGTTTTGTATCTTTTGGATCATTCACATGACGACAGACTTATTATTACTTGCTCAGAGACTCAGGGGCTCTGCAGGTATTTGTAAAACAATTTCAAATGCAATTATTATTTCAGAAGAAGAGTTATCTCCCATGCATTGCTTTCAGTGTTATCACCTATATCCAATATATATATATATATATATATATATATATATATATATACACAACACTTGAAATATCTTTTTACGCTTTTAAAGACGTCATTTGAAGGTAATAAGGCCCTATGACTTCCCGGTAGGCAGGTATATAAATCAAAAATATTGGATTTGGAGGCAGCCCTGCTCCGTATCGAGTTTATTATATTATACATGTGTATTACTAAATAAATATCCCCCTCGATGATTACTAATATTTTTATTTATCAAACTAAAAGTCGAACATCGGTAAATCATAAATTATCCATTATAGTACTTTAGTTATTCTAAGAATGCCAATCGTGTGATATCGGCTACGTTAAAGGTGAATCGCCGGTCAAATGAGTGTTCGACATAAACTGGGTGTCGAAATGAACTATTTTATCACAAATCAGATTATGCTGAATTTAATTTTTTGTTAAATGTTCTATATATATTTATAATTTATGCGGTCGCGATTCTCATTAGTAAGCCTTTTTAGACTACTTCGTTTTGAGTAGAGTAAATCGTATTCACTGCATCGTGTTGCCCTGTCTTCTATTAGTTTCCAGTGAACTCTGACGACATTATCTATATATATTTATTAGGCTTTTCACTGAATATCTCTAAATGAACGACCACCCGTCTACACTGAGGTGACATTTTCATTCGTTTACGTCACTTTAACGTAATTAACATCCTCTTTAAACATAAATACACAATAGCCATCATTATTTCATTTATTACAGTAAAAAAAATTCATATCCAAATGATTCGTTACATGGAAGAACGATAAAATGTATTCACAAGAGTCTAAAATAGTTGCATTGTCCGCCAGCAACAGTCAAAAATAAATAAAAACAAACATATATACACAGAGAGTATTATATAAAAAGCCAATTTGACAATAAAATGTTCGTGTTTATCGCATTTCCATCGGCCTCGACATTCCTGCTTTCGTTAGTTGTTTGTTGGAATCCACAATTGGAGGAAGCTTGGACCACATAACACTCCATCAGTTCATCGTCACTGGCACTATTTTAATCTATTGTGCAAGCCAGAGTCCGAATACAACCTGCTTGGTAAGATGACCTACTATGTTCAAACGATCGGCGTTATGGCCGGCGAAGGCAAATCAAGGGGCGCCTAATTCATCAAGGTGTCGCAAAAATCCCTTATAACACCTGTCAGCAAAGATCCGCACTTGGCACAGCAGCCCCTATCTTATTATGATTTTAAATATTCAAAATGATCAATAAACAGTGTTGAATCATATTTTTCTTTCCCTTCTCCAAAAGTTTGTGACAACGTCCTCTTTTTCATTCATCCACTTAAAAGCGTATTCGAGAACTACATTTGTAGGTTATGATTTTGTTTTTGTCGTAGTATAACTAGGAGTATCAATTTCTTTTGTGTTATACCATCATACATTCCATTGTAAAGTTATTTTCGAGTGTTTTTAACGTTTCATTTATATCGGATTGTACAAAAGGAGCCACTGCTGTCAAATCCGACATTTGACTTCTACTTTTATGGAACAATCTATTTCTCAAAATATATGGATACTATATAGATGAAAGGTATCACTATCAAAGGGTATCACACCGAGGGTTTACCCTTTTACCACCTTGGAAAATCGCGAGGACATTGATATATGGGATACAACCAGATTTGAACGACATCAAGGAGTTCTTCATCTAGCCCGATCGTTCATCAAGTGCCATTTAAATTCCGTCCGATATGTGCACCTCCTAAGTCCTGTTATCCTTGGTTCGGCTCTCCAGCTTGTCAATATTCGTCTGGCTGAGGGGTTGTATCAGCTGGCTACAGCTAAGCCAACACCTTTGGTGGCTCTGACTGGCTTGAGATAACACCCAGCTGGCTAGCTGCAGCTTTGACCTAAAATACCTTTTGTAATAAGTGTCACTAATATTAGATGGTGAATGATTATCTCCGACTAGGACTGGTCGGTTTCATAACCAAGAACCGTAGATTTCTAATGCAAATTGCTAAATTGGTTGCAAAGTAATTTATTAACATAGACATTTCCTTCAATAATGACATTAATTATTTTAAAATTGACAGTTTTTGCGGAGAATCGCATCATTTACACTAATTGCCGTTGTAAATGAATAGGAGACAAATACTATTTTCATGCATTCGTCATTACAGGTATCGATACAGGTTTGAAAGGTTGGTTGAACCGAGGCAGCAATGATTGAGATATTGAAGGCAATAGTTTTCAAAAAGCAATGCAACATTTCAATCAATATCATCTATTTTCAATACTGGAGTGTTTGGCTAGACGATACGTACACTCTGAAAAAGAATCAAATCTGAATAATTACATGGTAAATGGACTATGTTATACAATTAATGCCATGATTACGATTACACTTCGATTCTGCAGTTGTCATAGTAAGATTGAATGAAAAATTTAAGTTTTATCTAAGTTTCGCAAGTTATGCCATATGAACTGAACTAAATCAATGCGCATCAGTGTATTTAGCTAGGAAGAAAATGTATCTACATGTATTGCAGCAATCGTCGATAACTGTGCATGAAAATGATCTGAAATGGGTTTCATTTGTTCTTTTTAGTTATTAACTATTAATTATTATAAACTTACCTTTACATTCAACCACACCAAGATTCCATTTGTCACATTCATCACATACTACTTTTCCCATTCCCTTAAATCCACGATTGCAAGTAAAATTATATTCAGCACCAATTCGTCTTGAACCGATGGCAGAGTCTAGTAAACCATTGGCTATAACTGGCTCACCTTCACGTAATATTTCTGTCAAATAAAATGGGTGAAAATAGAAGATACAAGTGTCCCCAATACACAACAATACAGAGCATGCAGCATCAACCTGGAAAGAAGATTCCATTTCAGTTCTTCCAGAAAACCTCATCAAATTCCCCAATCACCATGTCCTCTGGGGCGAAAAGTTAATCCTTGCCAAAAACTTGTCTGAAAAAAAGCAAAGAAGAATCCGTTAAGCCTTAGAAATAAACCGCCGTTTCCCTTAATTAAATCGTGAGACTGTACATTACATCTTCAAAATATGTTTTCATTAACCTCATCTATTAACCCTCCTTTAATCGTTTTGTATTATCTATTGTTTCTTTCATTACTATTAGACTGGATTAGTCTCATTGTTGTTGTTCTATTATTACCTGCCTTCCTACTTCATAGCTTCCCCCTTTTTTTTGCTTTTCCTGTTTTTCACCATGTTTACTCCGCTGGAAGCGAACGTTAACTTGTCATCTTTCTACCTACCCTCCTTCATTTCAACTGATGACGACACGTGTAAATTGTGTTGAAACGTTATGTAGGCTACTTTGTTATTAAATATTAAAGAAGTGTGTTATACTAAAATATTTTCCATTGTGTTTTCCGTTATATGTGCTCTCAACTTCTAAATGTCGTTCAAATCTTATCTCAATAAAACTACAGATATTCCTGACTACCACCACATTGGCAACTTCTTAAATTCGCTCTTAACTGCCCTTCTTGATTTACTCAAATCCAAATGGGTGAATCAATAACAAACCTAGTTGCACAATATAAATAAACTTATAGAATTCCTCTAAAAATGTTCAGTTTCATGAAGAATGGCCATTATGATTTTTAACTGGGTTAATCTAAAATTAATCCACTTACTGTCACTGTGGAAAATAAAAGCATTAGAGACAATAAATTCTGATAATTAACTTATACTAATTCAATTAGCATCTATCGTGGGATCTTCAACTTACATAACCTGTAACAGTTACATGACCTCTCTAAAGACTTAACCATTAGAATCATTTTCTTTTAAAAAATTTCTTAAAAATTACACGAAGATCAATGACAAATCGACTTACACTATTCATTGAAGCTGGTAAGTAATACTGGACCAATAGCAAAACCCTTCTGTTCATTATCAATCTTAGTGAGACGCCTGGTCGCTATTGATAGGAGATGGAGGGGGGGGGGCGGTTGGCAAGGGTTTAAAACAAACTACTGCAATTTACTCAAGTCAGTGGAGTAGGCCGGAGGGGCTGATATAATAACAATCGTAAAGACGATCAGACGATAACAGACGATAACAGATAATAACCTGAGACCCCGTGTGTTACAGACACATGCATCAAAGTCTTGTATCACATTCAAAGATTGAAACGCGTTGGTAATCATTACGATCATAATCCCAAATATGAAATTTGTTGTTCAATATTAGGCTCTTTATGTAGATATATTTTTATGTCTGTGAATGTGGTGTGTGTTCTTTCTATGAGTTCTGTAAAATGGTCTGTGAAACGAGGAACCAGAGACTTTGATTTCATAGCAATATTTCATCAAACGCCTCCGATAATTACAAAGGCCCATTTTATTTGTTATTTGCTCGTGTGTTCATTTTGATAATTTAAAGCTAAAAATTATAAATGTTATTCTATCAAGAAGAAACTAGTGATATTGCGAAATCATGAGTATGAGTTGCTTCCAGCTCTTCCATCACTGTTATTCATTGAAAATAAAGAACCCAGTTTACCTTGGTTCAAGGCAGAACAAAGTAAGTCAATACTGATAGTTATATCATTGTTACCTACATTCAACATACGGCAAATTCTACCCCTTCGAGGTAATATTATTACCCAACGGCAATTTTACAGGCAATTTTATCAAGGCAGAGAGATATTTGAACTGTTTATAAATATCACCAAGGCTGTATCAACGAAAATGTCTAGAGGCGACTATCAATAGGTTCTATTGGACTTGATATCGAACAGAAAAGGTTAATATGACAATTATAACTGCATATAGATTGCTTATCAATGCGTCATCATAATTTTACACTAGTCGAACCCTTTTCTATGATCATTACCACGTCTGAATACAAATTAATTGGTTCGTCGTATTATTTTGTTTCGATGTCAAGGCACAAATCGGCACGATACATTTTTTTCATTTCGAGACACTAACTCGAGTGATATTTCCAAGTGAAACTGTGGAGAAGCTCAATGGATAAAAACTCAACCCATTTCTTGGATTCCCTGACTGACTGTTGGGGTCACATGAAATATTTTAACATACGCACTATACTACTTCTAGCTCACAACCCCCATAATGATATACATGTATTTAAATGCACGGTAAAATGACATTAAAACTCTGAGCAATGTTTAAAAATACCAAATTATCAATAAGTAATAAAACAATTTCTTAATCTAAAGCCATGTCGTAAGAGTAAAATTTAATAAGAGAGTCTAATTTATTCAAGTCCATTTCCCCTTTACGCTTGCTCAAATGGTGCAGAATGTAGTGTGGATTAAACAAGATGGATATATTTTTAGATCGAAGTCAAAATAACATTTCGTTATTACAATCTGTGGGAGGGACATTTTCTGAGTGATATATATGTATTATAATGCATCTAATTCGTTGGGTGCACTTAAATTGGTGAGTTGGTGTCATTTTCTCTCCGGGATGTCACCTTTATAGCTTAATGCCATCGTGTTGTACAAAACCCTGTAATTTTGACTATTCTGACAATTACGTCTTTAATTCGGTTGAAATATTCTGATTATTGATGTGAGATTAGAAAGAAAACCTACAAAAGATGTGACATATTTCTTGTGACATAACGGAAAAATATCGGTTGCTGGGAATGACGAGAGATGCAAAACAAAAATAACACCTATTTGATTTGACTTTGTCTCAGAGCGAGATACATGACATGAACACCACAACTCGAAGAAACAGTTAAAGTGAAAAAATACTATTGCTACTGGAGTACAGGGTGCCAACCGTAAATACACGAGAAAGACGTTACCGTGCAAAAGGTTTACATGCATAAACTTACACACGAAAAGATGTAACCGTGCCTACAGTTACCCCAGAAAGATGTTACCGTGTATGATGTTACCGTACATACAGCTACCCAAGAAAAGATCTCAGCATGCATACAGCTACCCGAGAAATATGCAAAAATAACACGAAAGGGGTCAGTTGAATCTTCTCATTTGCTTCATTCATTCAACTGGACCACAGCGATGATTGAAAAATAGCAGTTGCAATCAATTGTTAGTTTCTTGCAAAACATTATAATCTTGTCGGTGTGAGAGGTTGGAACTTGCGACCATCCTGTTGATCGCAATTGCTAGAACTAAATTTGGCAATATCTAGATATTATTGTTATTATTATATCGCATATAATTTAATGAATATTTAATTTCTCATTATCAAATCTGAAACCTCTTCAACTTACAAAAAATCTAATAAAGGCGCCAACAGCCTCGTGTACTACATCTCATCCGTCTTTTACCATTCAATCAGCCAATTTTCCTAATAAAGTATCAGGCCAGTAGATATGAGAATTGTCCTTCTTCAGTCTTGGAAATACACCTACATGATATAACACCAGATCTGTACACATAAAAAACGTTTATTATATGACTGCCTTCTAAGTATTTGCCTGGTATGGAATAAAAGACAAAATAAAAGTCCAAATTCATATATCTTATGAAAACATTATGCATCCGTAATTAAGTTTTAGACGATCAAAAAGAACTGATGATATTGGAAAAATATAAGTTATGTCCTTGATCACATATAATATAATGTTTGAATAGGCTAATACGTTTTTATTTTTATTTTATACCGTTACAGGCAGTGTTATATTCTTTTCTTGGAGAATTCCGTGATGTCATTGCATAGTTGGAAAAGGTTAGTCAGCTAAGTCACTAAGAAACCAAATTGGTTGAAATAATTGAAGCAATCATGTTTAAATAATTATATCATTCGATGTTGACCACAATAAAATTTTCTCCTTTATATAATTTTCTAAGTTTAAGACAGGAATTTTTTCAACTGATTATCATCAGACATGAACAATTTCTGCCTGATAGATTTATGAAAATAACCTTTATTTAATGAGGCAAAATATGGACAGCTCAAAATAGATATTTAATGATCACTTATTATTACTATGTTTTTGAAACAGGAAGAAGTGTTAGGGCTTTAAAGCAATTACTAATGATTTAGTATAATATGTCTAGCAGGAAATAGCTCTAGGCTACTTTTATTTGGGACATCATTTATTCAAACAGTTGTCTCTTTCAGAAAAATTACGTTATTGAGAACACATCTTCAGCGTATTTAAACATTATATGATTCAAAAGTAACGTTCAATTGCTCTTTTTGATTTATTTCAAGATTATTTATAAGAATTATTTTTAATGGAGGCGAGGTCACTGTTATTCCTATTTTTATCAAACCTGATTTTAATCATAGGAAAAAATACACTAATTCCACAAAACTGATGACATATTATGAAAACAGTGAATCACTCTCTAATACATATTGCAAGTTTTTTAAAGCTTGGTTTTTAAGTGGAGAAAGAACGATCTGCATAGCACACTATACTACTAACCACTGTTAAAAGTAAAATAAAATGATTTTGTGGATTATATGGACTCGAACCACTAATTCATTTTCCACCTATTTCCATGTAAAATCCGAACATTCAATCTTCTATAACTTTTGCCACAAATCTTGTTGAAAAATTTCCAATTTGTCGCAGACCAGTAGACCACCAGAAAAGTAGACCACTACATTCTATCAAACTCTGGCTGGCTGTCACAACACACTAACCAACTATGATTAGAATTATTCTTCCGCCTACAAATCTCCCATCAACTCACAAAATCTGAAAGAAAATGCAATTTCAGACATCCAATTCCAAAAATTAATCAAAAAATAGGCATGTTAAACCTCCAAAGGCAGGGATGAAGAGGACTGCTTAAATTAGATCGGTCTATATTCCTATATTTGCATAAAATTTTATAGTGGACTGAGTCCTACATGGTAGATTTCTTCAGTTTATGGCTTCATTGAGCCACTCCATTGTTGTTTGATGGAAACCACTTACATTCGGTTGATTCTTTATAAGTTGTAAATTAATTATTTTTTTTTGGATATTAAACTTATGTTTCATAGATAATTGTCAGTTCGATATAATGCATACTTAGATAGAAATATTTCCACATTATCTAGAACAAACATTCAAAACAAACATGTCCCGATTTCATAATGTAGTGTGGGAAGGGGGATAACTCGTGTTATTATCGGGATCATATCCACCGATTCAATAGCATCTTCTTTCCATATTAAGTCATGAAATTCAACTTTCTACAACATTTTCCAAAAGTAATGTTCCTGTGTGTTCCATGAAAGTCTGACCAAAACTACGTATCTGGTCAAAAACATAATATACAATCATTACTGCAGAATTTAACTGTGGCCCGAGTCCTTCCTTTAGCGTAGCCGGATTATCGTCATAATGTAGGTCACACAATTAATATCCTGATCACTATATACACTAAATAAGGAAGTTTTTGAATATGTGAAAATGGTACAATATCAATACGGGCGGAAGAAGACATAAACTTGTCATGTCCCAGCAACTTACCATCAATACCGGAATGGAATTAACTAGCAAGTCATTGGTTCATTGTTATTGAGTGTTCTATATTGTAGGTAAGTAAACGACAACTGCTCTAATTATAAGTAGACCTTCTATTTAATACACTGGCAGACATGTTGACATAATCTTCATCCACCCATAACATATTTTACCACGTTTATATGGTTTGTCGAAATTTATAAAGGTAACGTACTGGATTAGTAATCTAAGTTGCGATTTCAATAAGGGGGATATTTACACACGGTAAATTTCCCAGCAGATACAGAAGTACTACTGTGACACAGTTTATATAAGAATCCCCCCTGGACTAAGTTAACTAATCATAGCTTTCATAACACAAATTACACATTAGTGTAGGCATGAATTGAACGGAATTTACGATTTCTTTCAAATGAAAATGAATCCCTAGAAGTCAATTGAGACCCCCCTAAACAAACTAAAAATAGATAATAGATGATTAATCGACTGGACTCCCACGTACTATTTATAGATCAGTGAAAATATTTAACAAAATAAACAGTAGTTGCTATCTCATATTCTAGTTTGAAACCATCATATTATATAGTTATCAAGCGTTCAACTGAAGCTAAGAAATGGTAAGACTTAATCTTAAAATTGTTAGAAACAGCCTGCTATACCACAATTTAATTATTCGATATTTAACTTATGCGATCAATGAAATAATCCTACGTTTCGAAACGGAAACTAACAATAACACGTATTTCTATACACCATTTTCTCTTCATATTCTTCAAACAGGATGGTAAGCTCCGTGTATTAGGCCTACAGTTTCGTTCAGATATTAGATTATGGTTCTCATTTTCATAATCATTTGAAATGTCATTCATCTGAAAGGTAAATTGTCAGGAAGGAAAGATGTTCAGTAGTATCATTCATTAGTAATTTATTGTCGTTTCAGTTGAATGAAAAACCTTTTACGTTTGATGGGGAATGCGAACAACAAGATGAAGCACAAACATAAAAAGCCAGTCAATCATGAAAATATCGACGTGAACAGAAGCAAAACATTACGAGTATTAGAACAATTGAAATCAGAGGATTCAAATCATCTGCAATCATATCCGGAGCTTATTATTCATTCCAATAGCAATATGGATAGAACGGATCATCAAACAGAATCAATTCCTAGCAATAACAATGTTATTATCAATCATAGGTTTTCTTCAGCACCCCAGCTCCAATCCTCAATTACCTCAGATAATGTTAAGATACGGAAGGTGTTAAAAGATGGACGAATTGTGAAGGAAGTAGTATCTTGTGATAATATTGATAAATGTGAAAATGCGGTGCATGTCAGGGCCAATAACTCCGAATATCAACAACAATCTAGTGATCTCAGTGAACAAAATGAAACAGACTTTGGATTCTTGGCGGGCTGGAGAAATAATGGATGTAACGATATTGATATAAATATTCCTTCTGAGTCAAACAAAGCTCCTCCGTCTGAATACTATGCTGAGGGGGATCAACCATTGACCGTAGAAGATAGTAAGTGATAATATACTGGTCTTGCATATTGCTCTTTTAAAATGCATTAATTAGATTACAAACATTTTTTCATATTGCACAGTAAAATATTTCTTGCAGCATATCGTAAAGAGAAATTGTAAATCGACGTATATATTCTGTTTATTTTCTGACTTAATTTTCAGATAGCGCGGATGCCAGCACTAAGTGAAAAGAATAACAATTTGATTATCTCCATCTTATTAGTGCCTTCATAATTTTTTTCGCTTTTTCAGTGGATAGGCTACAAGCAATGGGTAAAAATTATACATCAGCTAAATATCATGCTTATGTGAACTCTCCGAAAGAATATTTTTCTGATGCTAAAATCATAGTAGAGAAATTAGAAAAACCACCATACAACTTTAAGTTATTTCTCCCTGAGCGACAATTATTGTGTGGTTCTTATGAACTGGAAGCAAAGTCTAATATAGTTGAAAACAGGCAAGTATAAAACATATTATATTTTTCCATAAAAAATCAATGATCAGGAAATTTCAATGTTTTAAGCCATCAACTTTATTGCAATATGATCACTTGGAAATTCTTTCTATTGCCTTATCAATAATACCTTTAAATCTATTCCAGGTGCTCCGGCAAGGTGATCTCATTACTCGGTGAAAATTATAAAGACTCTGAAGCATTTCATTTTATCAATTATTTTGCAAAATCCTTAGATCCAAGTAAGTGATGTATTTAAACCTCGGAGCAAATAACGAAAATACCAATTGATCGAAGTATTTTGGTCTAGTAGCATATGGAATAGGGAAAAACACATCTTAATTATGAATTCACTATTACCTGGACTACTTTGCACACTGACTTTTCAACTCCCAATTTTCTTTGAAACCAAATTATAGTATTATATAGTATCAAACAATCATTAGAGCTCATATTCAAACAGTGTGATGAACATTTCAAAGTTTCTCCTATTTCAAGAATCAAGTGTTAAAATTTAATTTAATTTGAGCACTATTTAAAAGTAATTTGCTATTTTAATTTAATATTTTTCAGTATCGAAAGAAGCTAAACTAATACCAGTTTTAATGGATGAAATCGACCAAATTCCTCGTATTCTGAAGGGCATGTATCTAATAAGATATTATAAAGACAGTGATAGAGGCTTCTTCTGGGATAAATTATCAAATTCAATCATAACGTGTAAATCGTGTCCTTCTCGTCTGAATAGAATAACATGACGTGACTACACTGCTTCAACATTCGAGAGTACTACTGTCATGAAAGATCACAATTAACTGATCATGCATGACTTGTGTGTTTCGTTATATACATTTGTATATGGTCATATTGGCAATTCAGAAAGTTTCTTGCCTGCTTTTATTTCTCCATCCGTATTATTTTTTATTTTTGTTGATGTCTATATTGTTTTGTGTTATCTAAAAGATATGTGTAAAATATTCTGTTCTGTTAGTATGTTTTATGAACTAATAGCTGTGTATTTCCACAAAAATGGACTTTATCAAATGGAAGTTACCAAAAGCTTTAACAACAGATCGATCTGTAGTCCTGTAGGTTTCCTCAAGAATGTATAACAAACCTTTAGCCATGTTCCAAGGTACTAAAATTTGGCCTTATATATATTGTATGAAATTTAACCAGTAATAGGTTGTCATTCACGAGCATTGGTAATTGAAATAAATAATATTTTTAAACGCAGTCATAATTTACAATTTTCATATGTTCTAGGTCTTTATAGTATCCTGCAAAAGAGCAACGAGCCACCATTTTGCTTCAATGTGTCTCAATGTGATCTATTTCAATTCATACAAAATATTTGCTGACATTAAAGTGCTAGATTCCACCCGTTTGACCAATCGTACCTTAGTCTCAGAAACAGGATTTTTGAAAGAAGACGATTTGTCTTTTCTTGAGACTGTCATATCTAGAAAAGACATATTGAATATACAAGGTGAAATTCCTGGTTTGAAGTATTTTTGCGTTTGTGCGTTTTTCGTACAATTCAAGCACTAATGAGGACTATTTACTTATATTTAATACCCAGATCAACCCCCAAATTATGTTATTTAATTTTATGATACAAGACCTAATAGAACAAAATGATAATACAGTATGGCCACCCATTTACTTCCATTAAATAGTAGGTTACGTCAGCTACTGACTCATGACTTCCAAGCATTTCTCGGGGAAAATAACAACACGGAATAGCAATAATCTTATTTTATTGTAAATATCTTCAGGTCCAGCCTAAAAAGTTTCCCTTTTACTCTAAATTTAATATAAATAAAAAGTTTGTTTTAATTATATGAATATAATAACAATTATTCATAATTTATGATTTGCCTCCTACAAAATATTTTTGAGGGTATATTCGAGGTAAGACAACTAGACTCATTCAGACGAGCACTCCCATTCAATTCTTATCAATTAATTTGTAATAAGCATATTTTATTCTGGTCTTGTACCGTTTCAATTACCTTTTCATATACCTACAACCAAATAGACAAACAAACAAATAAAATAAGACAATATAATACAAATATACAGAAAGTTATATAAACTTTTTGCCCTCTCACTAATTAGTTACCTGTAAAGTCTGACATTGCAAACCGTATCATAATATACATGTATGTACCTTTAGAATTCACTCTATATTTAATAAGCATTTTATATCGCTTTATCATTGCTCTTTGTGTAATTAGATACTCTTAGCAAGCTGTGGAATGGCTCCAAGTATGGGCTTTCGATTTCTTGTTTGATGAACTTGGCGATTGTTGAGATAACCGTGACATTTGTGCAGGGGAAGTTGAGATTGATGTTGATGATGCATTAGGTGAAGAACTGAACAGGTCATCATAACTGGATGAAATGGTAAGTGTGATATCGGAGGATTCGATATGTCTTTCTTGCCATTCTATGGCGTTTAGTGGAGCTCGAATAGATTCAACTAAACGTCTCCAAATCCATTCCTGTAAATCTTTCTTGGTATAGTCACACATTGTAATGTGACGGAGTATAGATGGAATGGTACATGGTTCTATCAATACTGGAACAAGTTTCTTACTTCTTGCACCTGGATTAATGTAAATATAATTGCTGGTATAAATAATCTAATCTAGAAGTTGTTCGTATTACATGCAGTTAATAATCACTGGAACTGTGCAACTGAGATCTGCTCATCATAATGGTAAAAATTCGAGAAAAAAAAATTCATTCAATCATAGCCTCTCCCTCAACAGGCCTTGGGTCCGTACGCCTATGCATTCAATGATTAATAGTTGTTTACAAGCAAAAACATGGATTGAATGTTCTTGAAATTTGATAGCAGAGTTTTTGTTCAATTTGGAAATATCTTACCAGGTGATAAGCAAAAGGCAAATTTAGTTTGGAAATCACAGGCTGGACTTTTAAGATAAGTATGAGAAATGATGATCACCATACGTCTACACCTGTAAAAGAGGGAAAATGAGAATAATTCATAGTTATTTAAGTTAGGAAATCGATAAATAATATTTCAGAAACATCAAAGAGTAGGCTTTACTGAAAAACGTTCGAATTTAGGAATATTATACATGAGTGAAATTTCCATTAATTGCACAGAGATTTTTCAGTTAGGTTGACAGCCCAACCCCAATCCAAGTATCTATCAGTATAAAGCATTCAGTAGGCTTGACCACTATGGTTACGTCTCATTCATATGCGCATATGGCTTTAAACAAGAAAGGTAAATTACCTGTTTTCAATTAAACTAGCACTAACTGTATGAGATGCCGCTCCCGGTAAATCATTACGACCTGGTACAAACAGCTTCAGATTGTAGGGCTCACTTTCTAATATTGATATCATCATTTTAACAAATTTGATATCTTCACCCTCTGGACAATAACAGACAAATGCATCGTATAATTGTGGAGATCCATGTTCGACTACAAGAAGTTAAAATTTAAAGGGTTAGAAAAATAGTCAGTCAGTCATATCCACCCATTGACAACCTCCTGGATCTGGGGTGCAATTAATCGTGCAGACTAAGATAATGGAGCAGGGGCGGGGTGTTGGGGGGGTTCAACTGTCTGCTGATATTCCAAACTTTGAAGATCGTTTGGCGTTACCCTTCCATGTTCTTGGAAATTTTCCATAGGCAGCCGATTACACTACGAAGACAAATTCAGTTCAAATTTAGTACCAATTTTATATGCTTTCTTACCGTCTTCAACAGTCATAATCTGAGTTTCATCGACAGTGTGATCATCTATAATCTTATAGTTATTAGCAGCCATTGTACTCTGTGACACTGAAAAATATAATAACAAGTTTTATACAGCTGTCGTACAGCAAATACGGCGTTCATGCATAGTTAGATAACAACAAAATATCGTGTTACGACACATTAGATATTTGGAAACGGTATATTTTAACGAAAAGTACTTTAAGACAAAATATTTTCAATTTATCAGAAAAGTTTTTTTTTTATTAAAATATATTTACACGCGGCAAATGTTAAAGATGAAAATAACAAATTGCGTTTATTTTTAACATTAATACGGATATTTGTAACTCATAGAAAACGAGATGTTTTCGTTTTTCGACGGATCAAACTCCTCTCTTATAGGTTTAATATAGTAGTTACTCAAACGAATTGATTGAAATTCATCAAGTTCATCTACATTCATTCTTGATAAACTTTGCGAACCCTATATATAAATTGTGTTATATATCATTTTTTCTTAACCCTAGGCAATATTGGAATGTCAACTCCATATGTAAAAACAGATTTAATAGATACCAGTCTGATCTTGTAATGGTGAAAAATTTAATCCTCTCTTCTTAGAGAACGTTTCAATATCTTTTACTGAAAATAGAAGACAGAACGAAGGGTTTATTCATAAACAAAGTTAATTCTAGTGCATAGGTAATAAAAATGTCTACATGCGAAACCTGTATGTACGGATTAATCGGTACACCAGTAAGGTGTTTTTAATCCTGTGACTAATCTGACAGCTCATTTTACATTCTTTCATATAGAGTTGTCGTTCCTTGCAGTCACATTACATGGAAAGGGACTGTAAGGAACGATAACTCTGTATAAGAGATCGCTCATTTTGAGACTTGATATTTGATTTTGTTGTTTCGTTTAATTATACCTGAAGAACATTCAAACTCGTTTTTGCAGCTAGCGTCATGAACACGTATATTTCATTCGCGAATACCAATTCTCAAAATAAGATGTCAGAACATTAAAGAGACCAACATCAGTAAGATTATTCACACAGTAAAAAATAAATTGAACACCTTGCGGTATCAGATTTTTCCTTGACCAATAAAATTGGTAATTGGAGCAACATAGTTTGACAAAATATCCTGATATGGGCAAATTCAACTGTGAAATCTTACTCGGCCAGAACAGAATTAAATATGCAAGTCGTTCTACTCGTATCTAAATCAATTTCAGTGGTTTGCGTTATTTTTATAAGGCTACACATAATCATCTGATTTAAAGAACCTATTGCACAAGGCTGCATAATTCAAAATTTAAATCTTACAAATCAAGGGATAACATTCAGTTATGACATCTATTCTTTCCATTTCTTCTAAATAATCAAACAGTTGACCAATAGTCGGATTCAAATCACCTCTTTGAACCCATTCCCTTATGACTCGTTTGGTGGGATCCGGGTCTTGTTCAAAATTCAGTATTTCCATATATTCGAAGCCTATTTTCTCTGCCAAGCCCTGAAAATCGTTGACCTCATGGCCAGAGCTTCGGATATTTAAAAATAATCCCAATCTTCTGTATGAACTGACATTCAGTACGGCCAAATGAAGATTTCGATCGCTTGCACTGATTCTTGGATAGTTGGCAGCCATTATTATGTTAACGGTTAACCTGGAAGTAAATAAACCAGTAGGCCTACAAAGTCCACAATTTATTTCCTTATTCATTCACTGTATTATTAATCAAATTATTTGGCCTTAGTTTTATCACGACAACGGAAACCAAACTAATATTGTGCATCATAAGACACTTAAATAGGTAATGACAAAATTAATCTTATTTCAAGATTTCAGGTCCCGAGTTAAGTCCTATGTTATAGGCTATCTAATTGAATGTCGGCAGTAATCGTCAGACCAAAACAAAATAAAATGTAAACATGTAGCATAATATCAATCTATTACCCTTTTGTGACATTTCGTTTCAATCAATTAGATTGATATGACACGCGAAGTAAAAATCTTTACTTCGATCATCCTATAGTTGACAGGAAACAAACTCACTCCGAAAACCTACATTAGGAATTATTGCGAAACATGACACCAAGAGGATGCCCTACAATAAGCTGAATCGCATGGCAATCTAGAATACACATATACGATAAATTCTTTTTTTAAGTGAATCGTGATTACGGCTTTAATATCGCTCGCCTTATATTAATTTAATCATTGAGAAAATAAGCATTTACTTATTTCTCCGTCTGACATATTTTATTGAAGGCACAGTGTTCCTAGATGTGTAGACAGTGACACAAAAGTGGGCCAACAAACACTATTAACTTCACCTTCACCGTATTACTTATAGTAGTAAACGATAGCGTCGGCGTGTCCTATATAGAAATTGACTGTACTATACTTGACTGTATTTGCACTTTATTTAGGCCATAAAGACTGATATCAAAATGCGAATATGTTGAATTTGATAATTAACTATACAACTTACCAGCAGAATCCAGTGAATATTTTCTGCTTTTACTTATCTGAAATTAATACTGTTTTGATAGTCTCACAAAAGTTGATTGTGGTGTTCCCAATAGACAATCCTCCATTCTACCCGGAAGTATCGTGACAAGTAGGTTGGGACTGGATGATCGTATCAAAAAGCAGATTACCAAGTATTTTCAAATCCATTTAGATTCAAAAAAAAATCTTTCGTGGAAAAGTGACTTTTGAGTGAGTCATATGTTATATATAATTGTCTATAACGATAATACAGGGCCCGAAATTTACACATATAATAACATCTTTGTTAGCTGATATTGGGGTAATGCACGTTAATTATTATTATAGACGTTTTAATAATTCTTAGATGTTCAGTTTAAACCTTCATCACTCGTTTTCTGTGTCTCATCTGCACTCATCTCATTTCTGCTCATCTGCATTTAAATAAATGTGTACCCCGATAAACGGCATCACAGTTATCACAGCGTCAGGACGGAATATAGGCTGAAGATCCAAATATGGACGAATGGATCAATTTTTAATGATGACGTCACCATATGAGTAAGGCTTATAACTTTACAGGGAGCTCTCTTATTGAAAGTTTAACATTCATAATAAATATAACTTAGTATCATAATATGCGTACAAAATAATGCCCTTGCTTTAAGGACACATACACCCATCAGCCATATCTGGGATTTCCAAATCTTGAATCTTTTTTCATACGAAATAACTAGTAATATCAAAATTATAATTTGAATAATACAATCTATTCAAATAATTTCTTACCATTTCCGACTATATTATTGGTGTCTTTCATTATCGCCCTTTCCAAAATCACCCGTTCCATTTCGCTCTTTTCATAATAGGAAATTAAGCATGTCGAGGCCAGTGTCATACAAAGTGGGGGTACAAGCTGGGTTCCACATTTACAGTTCTTTGGACAGGGAGAATGACAAAGCACAATGAATAGTGTTGCGGGTGATAAGATAAACCAAGGTCCAGCGGTGGAATAGGCCAGGGGAGGAATGTAAAAGGGGGGATATAGGAAAGTGGAAAAGGGACTAATTGGGAAGGGACAAGAGAAATAGGAAGGGGCAAAATGGGAATGGACAAGCGGAATGGAAATAGATTTGGGGCGAATAGGGAAAAGGCGATGTGGGAATACCATACTACAGTATTTTGATCACATTTGTATACCTTGTATATATTGTTACTAACAGTTAGTTATTGAGACGACTAATGGTATATATTACAGACGGCGGGGTTTAAAAATTAACGTGAGTACATGTATTCAGATCGTATACATACAAATTTGAGAAAATATATTGCATGTTGTGAATTGTGTTTTTACCACAAGGTCATCGAATCTCCAAAATATATGAATACGAAACTGTAGACAGCGATTTGAAATGTGGACAAATGGCTTCGTATCTTATGCTTGTCGAAACGAAAAGTAGAATGACATCATTTTAAGCAATGCATATCAAAGAATTGTTCATGTGTGGTCATACATCTTATTTGAACAGATAATTTGATTGATTGATTTTATAGACCTAGTATAATATTAAAAAAAAACTTTGTTAGATGATGAATGGTAAGTGAAGTCACTCCTTAACACAAAAATCTAAATCTGCCTCATTATCCCGATTTTTCAGACTAGGATACGACATAGCCAATTCCATTTGCAATACTAAACAGCAAGGATCAATTAAAATTTCCTTTATTTTACCCTGTATGGCGTTACCCGTCTTTATTTGACCACATGGCGCAGAAAAATAGGACTTAAGAGTCTATTCATTTCATATACTGCTGGACTCGGTGTGCCATTTACTAGTCACTCTTGAACCCCGGTTCCCAGCCTATGATGTTTTCACCTCCTGGGGGTGTGGGGTCTAGGGTGTCAGGGGTGTGGCCAACTGGTGTAGGAGAAGAATTTATTTTGAATTGAGCACCTCACATCAACACACGCTGAAAATGTGGATGAAACAAATTTTTGAGGGTGTAAAAGGTCCGGGTGATTGCTCCAGGGGTGTGAACCACTGCTCAAGAATCTAGAGAGATCGAAAAGCTGGTGGGTCATATTCAGCGTTGTGTGATTTAAAGTAGATGAAGTATCTTATAAGATCAAGTTAGTGGTATATATTTATAGGATATTTAAATGCATCTGTTATTTTCTTTTAATCAGTTGAATGGGATACTTATCAACCCTTGATATAAAGGTATTGGTTTCACTTACCAACTGAACATGGGGTCAATTTTACAAGATGACACAGGTAGGCTATCTTGATCTATAATTCTTAACCCTTTTCAATCTTCTCTTGCGATGTCAGTTGCTGACGATACAATCTTTCGTCTTTGGTGATGTAATAATAAAAGGAAATAATAAAGAAAGATGCTATGACATGTTTTAGTTTTTTTTGTTATTCTGATCAGAGTTGCTGATTAACAACGCGGGAAAAAAGAAAATAAATAGACTATAGACACGAAAAATTTCCATTTCAGTTTCGCAATCTGAAGACAGTGACAATTTTTCATCCATAGATGTGTCAGATTTCGATGAAAATACTTTTTTGACCTGTCAGGATGGTATGTTTTATATGCAAAATGGGAATTGTATATGGGGGAAAAAGGGGAAATCATAAAGTATAAATGAATGTTGATCTATAATGGTAGGTCGAAGTTATGTCAAGATCGATAGCCAGGAAGTTCAACATGAAAATTTAAATCTTACATTTGATGCAATTTTTTCAAATTTATTTTTTACTATGCAAAATTGCATATTTCCACTATAAAAATTGTAATGTATACCAAGAATTAACATTTCAGTGCTGTTCAATAAACCGCAATTCTACGACGCTTTCGTCAGTTACAACGTAGACGAAACAAGTTATGTTATGGACCATGTGGTCTCAAAGTTAGAAAGTCATCCGTATTGCTTTAGGTTACTTGTACCTGATAGAGATATTAACGCAGGGGTGTCAAGACTTTCAAGTGAAGCCTACTTAATTGAAAAAAGGTATAGTTGGCAGTAATTGATAACAAGCATTATAGGTTATATAATAAGGAACTATATTATGTTCTTCTTACTATAACATATATAATAGCGCTTATTGTTAGTTACAAGAACAATTTTTGAAATTCGTACGCAACTAAAAGTAACTTAAATATTTTGTGTAATATTCCATGGTAACGAAATGAGATCGGGAATTCAAATTCACATAATTGTTAAAAAGACCTCGTTGTAATTTGTTCCTGATATATAAGAAATTTGAAAATAGGGAGGGTGAGGGGTGGCGTCATCTTTTTCTCCCATACAAACGTCACTTCTATTGTCAATTCCAGGTGTAGAAAATTGGTAGTTTGTTTGTCAGATAAATATCTTTCGTGTGACCCATGTATTTTTCATGTCAGATATGCAAGGGCCACAAGTCAAGGTAAATATTCTTCAATTTTCTGATGGTCAGTGTGATTTTAATGATTTATGATGGTTACAAATGAGTGTAAATTATACGTATTGTCCTTTTTTAGAACAAAGCAATTAAGGATGTTAACTATTTATTTCAGCATCGAAGTCGAAAAGGATTATACCTGTTGTGATGCATCCTTGTAATAATATCCCTCGTATTCTCAAAGACTTAACAACCGTCGATTTAACAGGAACAGACAGTCTTCTACTAGAATGGCAATGGAAAAAACTGACTTCATCTATAAAAGATCCGATAACTATCAGAGACAGCTTTGATAGTTTGCCTTATGAAACACGAGTTTAAATACTTCCATGATACATACAACTTTAATAACGCCTTCTCCGCATAGATTTCCTGAACAGTTTTCTATATACTTAAAAAGTGAATTAAGTCGATTTTGTTGTGGCCTAAATGGCAGTTTTTTTTAAAAGAAAGATTCGTTTGTTCATCTCAACTTATGAATAAAAACATCTGAAACATATCAAAAAGTCTATTTTGATTTAGTAAAAGTCAAAGTTGGCAAAAAAACTCTGAGGAAAATGATTTTCAAATTTAGTGTTTTTATTGTTCGTATTATAAATATAATTCTATAAAACTTTATTTGTGTTCTTTGTTAGAACTTTATAACTGTTTTATTTTATTTTTGCATCTTGGCAGCTATTGTTCTTTATTTGTATGTTGTCTTTGAAATAATGAATAAATATTTGTATATTTTTGTTAGCCTAGCCTTTACTGTTTTGTACCAAATTCATGAAATTTCGATGAAGATCGACTCCTACAATGTACACGATTTGGAGAAGTCAATCAATACCTTAAAAGCTTAAAAGACAGAGTCACTGCATTTCCACTTTGCCAAGTTGTTCATAGTACAACATAATTGACATCGAAGTTATTTATAAAAGTAAACCACGTTTACAAGGCCTATGAATAGATATAAAATCATTTTCCACATATCGAGACAAGTTCAATGTGATCCGTGGGCTGAATGTTCGCTCTAGATTTTCTATATGTCCGTGGTGAATGATAGTCATAGATCAACTGGTTCAATTATGTGCAACGAAGCGCGTTTCCCATACATCATAAACCAATGCTGAACCCCCACTCCACTAGGAGTGGTAGGAAATGGCAACTGTAGATCCCCCCCCCCCCCCTCTCCTATGGAAGATCGAACAGCCAATATTAAGACGTCTTGATCCTTAGCCTGTATTGCTTTATTCCTACTGCTTCATTTGTTGGTCATTTTGACATTTTTTTTTAAAATATGACCATTAGTTCATAAAAATCAATATTTATTCTCTAAATCAATAATTTGTCAAGTAAAATTTGTATAAGCATAATTCTACTATTTTTTTAATACTAAAACTAAATTAAAAAGCACAAGTGTCTCTTTACATTTCCTCGGTAACTAATCTTCAAATACAAATCATGCCCTGTTGCTTATCATTTCACCAAATACATTTCTCGAAAATAAAACAGTGCCATCTTTCTTTATAATTGTGTGCAGTGAAATTATGACGACAAGCGGTGCTGACTGTTGTTAGCTTATCGGATACAGGCTATAGATTCTGATAGAGACGTAATGCCAAACTGAAAGCAGTTTAGAGCTAGAGTAAATATTGTTTTCTCACCATTCATATCTTGACAAGTGCTATGCGGGCTAACCTCACAGACCAACAAAGCAAATGAGACGTCTGCTCCAGGAAATCTTTTCCTAAGAGTAGTCTTGCGGAAGCTGTGCCATTTCTGGTTAACTCTTGGGAGCTGCGGTGGCTCAGTGAGTAAGACGCTTGCTCACTAACACGAAGGTCCAGGGTTCAACCCCGCCAAAGGTCGTGACAATATCTTCGGATTATTCAACCCGGTTTCCCGCTGTCGTTGATGCATGTATGAGGGGTTGAAATGGATAAACCGTCTAGTCGTTCGGATGGGACAAAAAACCGAGGTGTGCTACAGGCTGTGCACGTTAAAGATCCCTCGACAGTTGAAAATCGAAAAAGAGCAGGCTAATGCCACTGACCTGGCAAATTTTTCCTTATTGCACCATATACGGCGTTGGCCGTTTTCATTAGCCCACGTGGTGCATTCCATTTCATTTTCCGGTTAACTCTTCCTGTAATTGCAGGAATCACAAGCATCGGACGAAGAACCGGAATGTCCCAAATATACGTCAAACGTGTCTCCTATACACTTAACAAGGCTAGAAAACCCCTTTAAGCCGAAAGTAATAGTCAATAATATCATCGATATTGGTGTCATGACGGCTGGATTCAGATGTAAGCTCGGACAACAGACTCATCATATCCATGGTTGTCTGGATTTCAGTAATAATACAATAATTGTCTCGTCGATAATTTTCTAATGTATTGACTAGCCTAGTACTAGCCAAATCACGTCGCTTTGTTGGTCTGTGAGGTTAGCCTCCATAAGGACTTGTCAAGAAAATTGAAATAGAGAAAAATCCCAATAGGCCTACTCTAGCTCTAGACTACTTTCAGTTTGGTATTGCGTTACTGTTTAATAATTTAACTTTAAAAAGAAATGTAGAATTATGCTTATACACATTTTACATGACACAATATTGATGTAGAAAACGAATTTTGATTTTTATGTGAAATAAATTAATATTGGGCTGTTCATTCTTCCATACCCCCTGGCAATAATTCTTCCCCTGTTGAGAAGCACTGTTGTAAACAAATCCCTACAATGAGAAGTTTTGATCTATTGATTGCAAAGCAGTGCATACGGATCTCGGTGCCGAATTATAAAAGATTGTTGATTATTTCTGGTGTTACGTTATTAGTCTTTAATTATCGCTGTGTGAAGTTCCATACTAATAGCATAACACCCTACCCTTCAAATGTAACCAATGTCGTATAATTATATACATTATAATTTGTATTAAATAGTTGCAAGCCATTTGAATGTAAAATTCCATTTATTTCAAAGAAACTACTGGAATCTTTTGAATCAATATTTATACAGAACTTGAACTATAAAACGAATGCATGTTAATTTGATTTTTCAAATTGTTTCTGATTAAAAGGGAAAACCTCTCATTCAATACTCATAGTAGAGTCCTATAGAGGGTTTGTCAAAATCGACAGAAGTGAAACGTCAATTCAAGGAAATACATAATGGTCTATACACGGAGTAAAAAAATAAATGGATCTTGTAATGATGAAAATTGATTCTTAACTCTCTTGAAAACTGCACGGACTATATTTAATGGAACTAACCATTCCCTACTTAATTCACAAGAGTATTCAATATTGAACTAAAGATGTAAATTTTTGTTCTGATGCTCAAATATATTTCTCCTTCTATTATGTAGACTTCTATACTTAAAAGGGACATTCCGCCTTTTTGTAGGTTGATAATTTTTGTTGCTCAAATTTGTGAAAACTCTCAACCAATATCTATAGAAATGTATCTGAAATTTCAATTGAAAAATTTCAATTTTTTAAGACCAAAACTTTACGTAAAAAGTTCGTTGTGCTTTTTGCAAGATGTTTGAAAACTACTGAACGGATTTGAGTAAAATAAATGCTCCTAATATAATAATATGTTTCCTACATTTTCTAACTAATATATAACTAAATATAACGAGCCATTATTAAACCAATCATCGAAACTAGGTCAGACTGCTTAAATAACAATTAGTATTCTTGGTTTTTAATCAATCCTTTAAAACAAATTCAGTTTGATCAAGTAGATACATAGATATAAATAAAAAAAATTTTCAGGTATAATTTACGACGTTTTAGATAATGAAAATGTTATAAGAAAAAAAGCGTAATACCCCTTTAAGCTGTGGAGTGACCCGGAATTGAAGAATGGAATACTCTTGGAGATTTTACTGAATATATTATTAATCATCATCAATAATACAACATACAGTTGTGCATAACTCAAAACTCATCAAGTTATACAAATTCTGGAAATATACAAAACAAATATCTTAGTCTTAGTATGAATTAGCACAACATAATGAATGACTTGACATTTTGACTAATTATATAATCCTAGGCCTAATCTAAGCAAATCTGAAACTAGTTGCATTTCTCTTATATTAACTGTTTTCACACTGACAAGGGTGGATTAATCTTATAACATGGATATCATTAGTGAATATGATATACAAATAAAAGAATGTTCTAGCACGTGCTCGTATAAAACTTGCAATTCAATGACACCAAATAACAGGTTCAAATAATGCAATAAACACAATGTCACACTACAATTATCATAATACAGTTTCAATAATATACCTGAAGAGTGGATCTCCTTAGTATTCATTACAAAAATAACTTTAAACTACATTAAAACTTCTTAATCTGTTCGTTGCTTTACTTCTGTTAATGGGGCTTACAAGAAAATGGAGGAGGGAAAAATACAAGGGAGCAGTTATTAATATAAACTTTTAGGGAGAGGCAATACAAGGGAGCAGTTATTAATAATAAACTTTTAGGGAGAGGCTTATTGTAATGTAATTACCCGTTAAACAAATATACTAAATTCTATTCAAACCAAGCTGGTCTGCATACAATTGACATTGCCTTGGGTCGATCTGTAATCAACCAAACATGATTTTATTCACCTACATTGTGATGTAATGGAACGACTTAAAACTCCAAATAATCCACAACAAACGTTTATCATAACCCTGGCCATAAGTTATCTTATACATACAGTAGCAGGTATCACAATATTCATACCCTTCCCACAGTTCACTTGATAAGCAATTGATCCAGCAAATTTTTTTGGCTAATTAATTTAAAATTTTGATTTGAATTTCATAACAATTCGACATGAAATGCAACATTCATAAGATAAATATACAATCTGATTTGATTCACAGATTATAGTTATATATATTGATTATGGCTACTCAAAAAGGGCGAATTTTGACTTGCCAACATGCGATGAGATACTTCTTTGAACCCTGACCCTAAAATTGACAAGACAGAGAAATATTCTGGTCTTGTTTCACTTCACATTTAGTTTGCAGACAAGTAATCCATTCAAGCTGGCATTATGTTATTCACATAAAATTTAATTCACTTGTTGATCTATTTGATAAAAAAAAGTAATTATAGTTTCTTCCAATCTGAATGAAATTCCACGAAAATACAATTTAAATGTAATTTACTGTCACGTGTTGCAACACGACATGCGTTTTTCTATTCGTAGGCGTACAGCTAGCGAGGTAGTCGTTAATAGACCTTAATACACGACAATATTATGACTAACTCTCAACGTATATAAGAAAGGTAATTGACTGCATAAAAGTCAATTGAATCAAAAATTTAATTTCCCCTTTTGATTTATTAAAATCTTTGTTTTGATCTAAAAAAAAAGGGGTTTTTATTTTCAAGCTAATGTGTGTGATCGTTTGTATAAATATATATTACACGATATTGTTCGAGAAAATTGTTTTCAATGGAGTGAATCGGTGATGAAGTCTAGCTAGGACAAATGTCATTAGTTGACTCCTGTCCTTCTTTAAGATCCCGTGTTGATTTGGAAATGAAATGAAATGAATGGAGTTTTACGTCCTACTTTTCTGCACCATGTGGGCTAATGAAGACGGGCAACGCCATGCAGGGTGCAATGAGGGAAATTTTGCCAGGACAGCGGCATTAGCCTGCTCTTTTTCGATTTCCAACTGTCGAGGGATCTTTAACGTGCACAGCCTGTAGCACACGGGGCCTCGGTTTATTGTCCCATCCGAACGACTAGACGCTTTTTCCATGTCAGTCCCTCGTACCTGCATCACTGACAGGGGGAAACCGGGTTGAAAAATCCGAAGGTATTATCTCGACCGTGTTGATTTGGAGACTTCGCATGACTTTTATTTCAAGGTATTAAAATACACTTGAATGATTGATAAATGTGTCATTGTGGGGTTTTTCCATCGTTAATCCCGGTAAGGCATTTTACATTCTTACACCATTGCAAATAGACACACCGACGTTACCCTTTTTTTTATATCTCATAACAAAATAATGTTAGCTCGTGATAATATCGTGCTGAACTGTATATAATCTGCTGACAATTCTTTTGACCCCCAGGTGTATGTATATTTTGACCCAATTATATATAGTATACAATCCCTTACTAAATCGTTATTTATAGACAGATTGCCTACAACTATAATACCAGTTCTGTATAAAGAACTAAATGCTAAATGATTACATTATTTCTGCCAAACTGGAATTTTGTTCTTCCGCCCAGTCGTTTGTTCGTTTTAAATTAAAATTATTTTCTAATATATAGTATGGAATTTCGTTTTCCCCTGCCGTCACACTGCCTTTAATTTCATCATCAGTTATAACAGGGGTATTAAATCCTTCACTCACTCGATATCTTTTCAATTCAAAGGAAGTAGCTTCTTGTGATTCACATTTACTTCTGTTACAAAAATACAAAGATACAAAGATTAGACATATATAAGGATTCAGTGACAATAGAGTAAAAAAGAAATAATTTTTTTTTAAATTTTATGTCATCAATGCTAAATTACAATAAGTAAGAGCTTGCAAGGTCGAATTATCTCTAAATCAATCATTTAGGCAACGAAATGGCTAAATAAATACTAATAATAAAGTTCTTTCTCCTTGTCTTCTTGGGTTTTCAACAATCTATGGATCTCTGACGGTAAAAGCCTACACTACAGGTGGCGCAACGTTCTCTCAGGATCGAATTTGTGTCATTATCCGCTAACTACTCACTTTCAGGTCATTCACCGGGATGTTTCGAAATTAACACAACAGAATAAGATTATGTTACAGAAAGAAAGATGTGTTGCATCTCACCTGTTTTTATTTCTTGCTTTGACATAACAACAAATAATTATTATAATGAATATCACTACTGTCACACCTCCACAAATAGATGCTATCAATATCGCTGTACGAAATATACAATAAAACATAATCAAACATTTTGAATTAGTTATTTCTAATAATTCTGCCTATGACAGCCATTTTAAATAGACTTTCATAATTAGTTGGGTAGACAATGATACAGTATTAATATAACCAGGACATGGTTTGCTCCAATATATTTTAGCACTACATTGACATTTCTTTACAAAACAATTATTTGTCTACTTAATAGTATTTACTATCAACTATTAGTACTAGTGTGTCTATAGGTTTTCAATATTGCACGAGGGGATTGAAGTACATATCATATAAATATAGATCCGATATACGTTCATGTAATCCTCATTGGGATATTTACAAACATACGATGACGCCATAGGGAAATTCCTCTTAGGCCGTGGTCACACATACGTGCGTCAAAATTGTGTACGTCAAACGAATGCGAAACTGTGTACGATTCGAGAATATGAGTGGTCACACATTCGTACGTTTCCATACGTACATGCCGTACGTCAGTTAGTATGTCAGAAGCGAGTATAAAAACTTTATTTCTTTGTTTTAGATAACCAGGTGCATTACAACCGTAAGATATTATTGATTTCATATTCTTCTCACAAACACCTTTTGGTAGAGACCAAACACAACTAGTCAATGAAATTGACGCCTTTTCCATGAAAGAAAACATATCAATGTAGCAGACCCATCACGTCCGCTGAAAATAATTTCCTTCACTTTCCCTAATATGATGCAGACAGTATAGCCTACAAGGTCTGTCTTCCTGGTAGGGGGGTGGGGGAGGTTGGTGTTTTGCACGCCATTTATCTCTGAAAAATCATCTAGAAATTTATTATTTCATTTTAGCTTCCAGGGTAACCAGCTTTAAGTCATGGTTTAAAGAACGAATCCCTTAAAAACTTTAAGACGCTTGAGGAATTGAACAATTTCATTGTAGCTATAGCTTGTAACGCCTGATTTGTCCATGGCTTTGTTTATCGATTCCCAGATGTTCTCTAAACATATTAGTCTTTATATGACTTACTAGTCTGATCATATAGGGCACTCTTTTGTTGTACCAAAGAAGTGAATTTCTCGGTATCGTCATCGTGAAGTTTTATATTACCATCCCTTGCGATCTAACGTACGTCAGATTTATCGCAAGAAACAATTCTATTTTTTATGGGACGGAAAATTTGATTTATTTCGACGTACGTCTAAGTGTGACCACACTGGTGCATTCCAATTTCATTTGATTTCGTTACGTATTCAACTGACGGATAGAAAAAACGGACACTAGGTGTGACCACGGCCTTACACAACGGTCAACCCGTAACTAACGCTTGATTTGTCGTCAAATAGGTAAATATAGTAGGCTTGGATGTTTGATTATGTTTTTAAATATAGTTTAAGGGTAATTCATTATCATTTCCAAACTATCACTGAGATTGCAAAATAGAAACAAAAATTGACGCCATAGGGCAAAACATAGCTACGACTGTTTTTAGTATCATTATTACATGGGTGTGAATCTCCTGCTTTGTAAGAATAGTATTACACATGTATAAAATAAAGCAATGTAATGCGATTTAAATTAGATCAAAGCAATTATATATTATAATATATATAATTATGTATAAATAATATAATTGCTTTAATGTAATTAAAATCACATTACATTGCCTGTTACCGATATATATTGAATTTTACAATGATTGATATTGCAATGCTCATAAACGCAAAGCAAAACGGACAAAGCGTCGATATAAACATGTTAAATTGTATCATATTATTTAATAGCTGTCGATATTATCCATGTAGCGGGACCAAGACAAATAAAGATAGCTTGCCAGGCAAGGTAACATACGCCAACTACCAGCTGTCAGAATGAAAACAAAATCTTTAATGGCTTAATTATAAATTTTCAAATAATCTTAAAATCATCGACAAATAAAGATAGCTTGCCAGGCAAGGTAACATACGCCAACTACCAGCTGTCAGAATGAAAACAAAATCTTTAATGGCTTAATTATAAATTTTCAAATAATCTTAAAATCATCCATAAGTGAAGGCAAAAACCTGAAACAGTTCATCAAGTTATCATGAAATTCAATGCAATAACTCGGAAACTATTGATTCGATTATTACCAATTTCTAACTTGACCGAGATCTCATCATGCATATCTAGTTTCATCAAGATTGGATAAAAACTCCGAACTCCGAAACCCTTCATCCGATTGTTACCAATTCCGCATTTGATCAACATCTCATCAATATATAGATGCCCACCAAGTTTCATCAAGATCGGATAAAACCTGTAGTCTCTATCTTGCCTACAAGTCAAATTTGACGAGTTTTTATCAAGTCAAGGGCAATAACTCTGAAACCATTCATCTGATTATTACCAATTTCGAACTTAATTGAGAACTCATCAATATATACATGCATACCAAGTGTCATCGAGATCAGATAAAAACTGAAGTCTCTATCGTGCCTACAAGGCAAATTTGACTGAAACCGTTCATCCAATTATTACCAATTTTGACCTTGACCGAGATCTCATCAATATATACATAAATACCAAGTTTCATCAAGATCGGATAAAAACTGTAGCCTCTAATGCGCCTACAAGAAATGTGAACGGACCGACGGACAGGGGCGACGGAAATATACCTCCACATTTCCATGTGGGCGTATAAAAATGACAGTAAAAAATTATTCCTTGTTATAAAATATCAAACGAGACAATATTTCCTATTCGACAATGTGTCAAAGGGCGCTACATGTATGGATGCTATCAGTTAAGATAAATCAAAATGATTCATTATGAATAAAGCCGATGCAAATCCTTACCAAAATGGCGCTTTATTTATAAAGATACTAAATCTAACCTGGAACAATCCTCTTGTTCATAATTCTTAAAATACTAGTATTATGTAACATTAACACTTACTTTTTACTTTAGTCTTCGAGTTTATACCAGCCACGGGTTCTGTAATATTTAAGGACATTCATGATTTATCATTAGTAGTAATTTTCGACACATTAGTTACATAATAGCGATGTTCCCATTAGTGTACGAGGTGTGTCAGAAAAGTTATTTATCTTACCCAAACTCATGGGGGTCAAGAAGTGCAGGACTGAACTACATCAAGAATGTCGTGACAACTAGGCAGCGGATTATAGAAAATACGTTCCCGAAGTGCATGCTAAAACATGACAGAGAAGAATGGGAAAGTGCGTTGAACTCCGGGGGGACAGACTACGAAAAGGAAAACTTGTGGTTTGTAGTTTGGATTCGAAATGTGTCACCAGCCCTGGATCTTTCTGACATACTCGTATTATTGCTCATTTGTAAAATTTTGGCATCTTGGTTCCATAATGGTAATTTGTTGTGATAGGGCGACTGGATAAATTCTTGTTTGGCATAACCGATTACCCATTAATCGGATGATAGATGTAGATAAAAGCTGTAGTTTACCTTTGCTGCATGTTCTGTTATCAGTTTCTGAAAGATGAATGGATTTGAGTAAAACAAAGATTAGCTAATCGAAGAAGCGTTGTTTTTGTGTGAAAAGAGTACACTTTACAGAAATTAGCATGAAACCTGAGTATATTCGATTCACCAGAGAGGATTAAATCGATTCCCTCTTAATGCTTATACACATTGTTCGTTTTTGCGGACCATCCGTGTTCAAGGATACATCATTTTTTGGCGTCTGAAATAAAAATACAACAGTATTTTTATTATGCAATATTTGAGTGCATATAGTTTATTAGGTAGCACATACATACCAAATATACAAGCTGGATGAAACTTTTCAGTACATACAAAAATTTTTTCAAGAGTAACCACTTTACCATTCCACGAAAATGCTCGACATTTTCTGTTTTCGTCTTTTTCTAATATATAAAGATTGAGATATCATCAAATTATGTTGCATTTTCAAAAAGAGAAAGTTGTTTTTTTACTTGTTCTAATGCGACAGGTTTTAGCCGGAGAAACTACGTTACTTCTGAGATCGGAGATGTAGCAAAGTAATGTACAAAAAAGACAACTGTTTTAAATTTTTGCAAATGCTGAAACCCTTGTGAACATTAAAAACATAATAAAGACATCATTTCCTCTAATCTCTATCTTACAGCTCACTTAACATAAAAAAGTTAAATCCCATGACAAATAACATATAAACTAATCGCCCAACATTTCACAATAACATTCTTGAATTCTCTTTTTTATTCAACCCTTTCAGGCACACATGCATGTTATTTGTCGGGAAATGGACAAATGTATATTATATAATTTGGACACCTTCTCATTCACAGGTTATTAGAATAGCACAGTTATAATAAAATACCAAGGCCATCTACCATATTATATTTGGGTTGCTTTAATAAATAAATATATATATATATATATTTCTGATCAGGATCGAGCAGCATGCCAGCCAAGGTAATATACGCCCACTACAATATTGAATTTTCAAATAAGTCAGTGCAAAACCTCAAAAACAGTTCATCAAATTCAAACATGAACAATGTCTCGTCGACGAAACCTTTCATAAGAATAATACCAATTTCAAACTTAGCCGAGTTCTCATCAATATATACACGCATAGGCTACTAAGTTTCATCAAGATAGGATAAAAACTGTTTTTCTGCCATTCCTACAAGCCAAATTTGACGCTGGCTTACTGAGTCAAAGGCAACAACTCTGAAACCGTTTATCCGATTGTTACCAAATTAAAACTTGACTGATATCTTTTCAATATAAACATTGACATCAAGTTTCACCAAGATAGTATAAAAACTATAGTCTCTATCGTGTCTACAAGAAATGTCAACGGAAGGACAGACGGACATGGGCAGCGGCATTATACGTCCACATTTCCGTGTGGCCTATAAAAACGGTTTAGACAAGGATAATATTTATAGAGATTTTGAAATCTGATGTTTCGGTTAAGAAGCTTACGTACCTATCCAAATACTTTGTCTTGTTTCAGAAACAAAGATCCTCAATTGATTCATAAACATCTCATTCGATAAAACTTTATCCAAAGTAAGATGACTCCCATTTTGTTCTTGACATCTTAATTTCGACTCCTTCAAGCTTAGATTTTCAGTTAAAATATGTAAACAATTTTCTGTCAAATATTCTGTAAAATACAATTAAAAAAGAACTATCTTACACTATAATGCAATAAGATTTTTTTTTATCTTAACCTAAACGAATCGTTTCTGTCTTTGTAAGCACGTTTACTAAAACGATGCTGATGGAATTGCCTTTTAGTTTGCTAAAAGAAACCGCCATCTACAAGGTTTGCTTCTACAAGCGCAAGTGGTTGTGGTTTAAGATTTCTAGGCTGCTCGATCCTAATCATTAAGGTTCTTATTTGACATTATAAAGCCTTTTAATATGAATTTGTTGCCAATGACATATTACTATTTTATGCAAGTTGACATAATATCAATTATTTATGTAGGAATCGTCAATCATTGTGAATGTAAAAAAATATTGCTATAAATAAACATTGAACAAATTTGTTTCTACTGAGAAGTATTCTGGGATCAAAGTGACATGTACTTCGACACCAATTCTTCACGCCACGATAAAAATGTCTGATGTTCTCCGAACTGAGACAATGACACGTACTGTGTACGTCTCAAAGATTATCAATTATGTGGTGGCGTTGTCAGTTTTGGCGTTCCTGGTGTTCTAATAAATGACGGAAGCTTTACACTTGGGACCAGATTCATACGAAATGTCTGTCTAGACCATGCATTAATCAATTAAGTTCTGAAGAAAGGCTTTGGATATCTGAAAAGTTTATTATCATCATATGAACTATATTTAATTCTTTAGATACATCAATTAGTTCCTATTAACGTAGCCGTCGTGTTAAGGAAATACATGTAGTAACAAATGTGTCTATATGTTGCGTGTCCATGGTATGTTACCAAATTATCTAATTAACATTATTACCAAAGTTGACATATCGAATAAGATGCAGAGTTGATAGAACCCCCGACTTCATTTCAGAACAAAGCTGTTAAATTGATACTAAATTTGATGCTTTAATGATAAATGTAATTCGCATTGGTTCTAAACATGAAAATAAAACTTGAAAGCTACATAAACTTGTTATTCTTACAACGCTTATAGAATAACGGCATTATTTATGATTTTCAAACCAATTGGTAACAATACAATCATTAATTGTAAACAAAAATAAGTTACACTGTACTTAGCCATATTATCCATTTGCACTTTCTTCAACAAAGGCATCAACACATCTACTTCAAGCAAAATTCTGTTTACACGAGTAGTTTGTAAAAGATTTTATTGATGACACATACGCGATGTGCAAAAATGGACATTTAGTCTGTATTGGTTCAAATAGGAACCTTTCACATGAACTTTATTTGATAATAGCACATAGGCAATTAATTTCAAGAGCAATACAAATGGTGCGATTCCCTCTTGAAAATACGAACGTGTTAGCACCCTACGCACTACAGACAAGATCCACATAATCCGAAAGACATGGAATAACAAAGAGACATTCAAAAGGAAAGCCAAAGCCACGTTTGCGTAGAAAAAGTGGTCAAAATCTTACATACATAAAATCAAATTAAATCATTCAATTTTAAGTTTCTTTACAATCTTTTTTCTTAATATGATATCTTCAATGCATAGATATGTGGATAAATTCATTTCATCTTGATAAGAAGTGCAAGTGCAAGAAGTAATTTTCATAGAGCGACGTTTCTTTGGCCATGAAGTAAGGATAATCTATAGGCGATGATAGATTCCTTGATTCAAGGCATGATAATCCGACCAATGAGTATTAGGATCATATTGGAGCCACTATATTAGTTTATTCCTCTGTCGGGTGAAAATTCGCATACAACCTAATAACCGAAATAGTGAACGACCTGGCGTATCAATATTATTCCTCATCAAAGTCAATATGTAGTTTCATCTAACCTTTCATACTCAAACAGAATCCATACAAAGAAGCCATGGAGAGAAAAATGTGTGGTGTGGTCTTTCGTTACGCACTAATGTAAGTCTCTGTGATGTTTTAAAAATCCAGTTACCAGAGGTAATTTCTAGAATCTACTAACTACTACAAATAACATAATTATATAGAGATAGAACAATAAGATTATATTATATGAAAGGTGATAAACGATAATTACAAGAAAAAGCAAAAAAAGATACAAAACCTAAATAAAGAAGAAAAATAAAATGGATCATGGCATAATAGAGTATAATGATCAACATAAAACAAAGTTACAATGAGAAAAAAATGAAATATGTTTTTGTGCTGTTAACATCCTTGATGGCTCATCGTTATGAATTGAAACCACCCTTGCTTTCGTACGAACCAAAGAAGAATATCCGTCGAAAGTATTTCGTATAATTTAACCAACCTAATATGAATGTCATTTGTCGTGCTGTTTCAACTCTGTGATAAAAAGTGGCCATACAAAGACACTCTCTTTACCAGTGAATATTCAAAATATTAGAATCTGGTACAAGTTAGATAAATCCTGTACATGTGCCTGGTATCAGAGAAAAGATAAAAAGTTCAAAAAAAAAATAATCAGTCGATTCTGATTATAATGACAGTAAAATGTGTTCCCTTGATTGTAAGATATCTGTTAATTACATTTGCAAGCTCTGACACTCAGTCTGAAGACTAACGAAAATGATTCTGTCCTTCAAGACCTATTTCTCTTCAATCTCGGGACGCGCAGTCCGCATAACAAGATTTACACCAAAGCTTGGACTGTCAATAGGTGCAATAATGTGATGAAATAGATTTATATTTATTATCAATAACCTAAAGGCTACGTTTATTGTAATATCAGATCAATTATATAAATGTTCAAGAACACCCGATATCACTCTGTAACTGGGCGATCTATAAATAACAAAACGTCTTGCTGATATCTCGATGAAAAATTGGAATTACAAAATTAGCTAGTTAATGACATCTTATTTCCCCTTTGACTTCTGTAGTCTTTTCTTATTACTTGTCATATGTTCCCAATTGCTATTCGACATTTCAATTATCTTTTCAAAGCAAAAATCCCATTTACTTACGATCAAAGCATTGGCAAACTATGAGGAATATTGTAATCTGATTTATACGTATATCCATCATTATTATCTGTATCCTTACTTTTGGTGTTTCTATCTACCAATTCATGTTGCATGATTACAGGAAGAAAGAAACGATGACACTTTCCGTTTAACCCGGAAAACTATATATATCTTGAGTTGCTGTACACACATCTTAATAAATAGGATGCTAATATCAATGTTTTTGTCAGAGGGGCGCCAGTTGTATCCCCACTTCTTGTCATAACAAAGTAAAAACTTTGATTGTTTTGCGTTCTATACCAGAAATGTGTGTCAGGATGCACCTAAAAATTTCTTGTTTCACAATTTTTCTCGACGGAGATTCGTCAAACGCTTTATGCGCCGTTCTATATTTCCTCGACAGGTGACTCCACATTAAGTCTATCAAATATCATAAGAATTTTGTTGAAAATATAATTGATTGACACAAAGTGTTTTTGATGGACATATTTAGAACTTCCGATAGACGTGTGATGACTTATTTGACAAATATGTTATATTTTGACCCATTTCATTGGCATGATTTTACTTATATGATGGAATTAAGTACTTACGATCTGAATCGCAAAAGGAAATCCGAAATCCAAAACAACATTTTAACGTCACATTGGTAGCAGCTAATGAACGTTTCACGCGAGGAAGTATTATGTCATAAGTGAGTAAATGTTTCATGATAAAAAGTTGTATCATGTATCTAAAAGAGTAAGCATACCCTGTCTAGCGCCACATCCGTCTTAGCTGCTCAAGATAGCAATGCAAACGGAAAATAGAAATAATTAAAATAAAATATTTTTTGTTCTTGTAGATGGGTTATGGTGTACTAGTAGTTGGAAAAAGTGAAAACAGAACCAAAAAATATTGAAAAATAAAAAAGTTATGCAATATTTAAGGTCTTTAAAAAGTGGGCGTGGCAAATGAAATTTTTCTTTTTAGTTGAAATACAACCCGATGGCATAACTTGGTAATTTTTTAGATAACATCTTAAAATTCTAAATGGAAAAATATTCATATCTCCTGTCGTTGATAAACTTTACAGACTTATATCTTGTATATTCTTTGAGATATTCCATAATGAATGGGGTAAATATTGGAGAAATATGGTCGTTATTTGTATGATTTCTTCACACTCATTTTATAAATGATATACTGAACAAGTCATTAGAAGATTAAAACTATTTTATAACATATGTAACTTAATTATAATTTAATTTAAAGACAATAAGTAATTTCATTACACGTCATGAGTTCCTACATTCCCAAATCTGAATTGGTAAAACACACACACAAGATACCAAATAATAATAAAGTGAAAGAGACCCCCTGATCAAATAATAGAAATAGTATGAAATTATCCGCTCAAAATATACTTTAAATTAAGAAATGATAGTTTTAAATCATCTATGAATTTAGTGTTTCATATAATATAAATTGAATTTTCATGAAGTCAACTTCAATTTTTCACTTTTGCTTCAAGGGTATTGAAAATGGCCGCCATTACGACCGTTTTATGTTGAAAATTGATATCTCACCTTCTTAGCTAAGTTTCATATTTTAACACACTTTTCTAGCTATGTCATCTTTTCAATTTAGTATATTTTCGATAAAAATAAAGAAGTGTAAATATTTTTCGATTCGTCTGATTTTCAATAGGCTTCATCCTTGGGTGATTACAAACACTCACACCACGTTTCGGCAAAACCCACCAAGAAACCAGCTCTCTATCGTGTCCACAAACAATTCAAGAACAAGGGCAATAACGCATAGTAAATATTTTTCGATTCGTCTGATTTTCAATAGGCTTCATCCTTGGGTGATTACAAACACTCACACCACGTTTCGGCAAAACCCACCAAGAAACCAGCTCTCTATCGTGTCCACAAACAATTCAAGAACAAGGGCAATAACGCATAGTAAATATTTTTCGATTCGTCTGATTTTCAATAGGCTTCATCCTTGGGTGATTACAAACACTCACACCACGTTTCGTCAAAACCCATCAAGAAACCAGCTCTCTATCGTGTCCACAAACAACTTAAGAATAAGGGCAATAACTCATAGTAAATATTTTTCGATTCGATTTAAAGGGAGGTAACTGATAACAACAATTGTTATATTATGATAAGAAGAAATGTTGCGAACACCCGAATCAATGCAGAGGCATTTAATGATGAAAATTGGCATCAAGTGATCAGAAGAGTAATCATACCTTGACTGGAACACACACCTGTCATTGCTGCTAAGTACCACAAATAAAATAAGCTATTGGCTTTAAGTTATTTTTTGATTTATTTATTTGAATTATTTGAGATAATTTGACGTCCATTGTATGACATTCTATTAGATTAAAATAGCAAGTACTAAGTTTTCTACGATTAATAACAGGCGGATCAGAACCGTTTCTTCTCTGTAGTTGTACGGTGTTGCTTGCATAGTACTCTTACTTTTAAAAGCACTTCCATCAATTTTTTACTTTGGCATCATTCTCTTTAAAAGGTGTCGATTTCAGAACAGAGAATGTCGACTCACTTTTACCTCTGTTCGATCATGTAACGCTCTCCCAGTTGGACACCTTCATGACCCTCTTCAAAATCAGAAACACCTCAGCTGGATACAAGTGAGTGAATCATTTGCCCGCCTACCGTCCGTAGGGAAGCTACACTAGCTAATCAACTTCACCGGGCGATGTCTCTAGTAGAAGCAATGGGGCAGCTAACCTTATACCAACCCACACACATCCGTTATCAAAAGAGCAAGACTTCACTTCCATCAATCGTTCACCAAAGTAATAAGGGCATAGATTTGAAGAATCGTAGGCCTACGTAGATGTCTTTTCAGTTTATTTAATAACAAAGGTACATGATAAATATATATGTATAGTTTGTATAATAAATTAGTTATAAATTCATTACATTTTTTTCATCCACGAGGCTTTATGAATATTTCATTACTTTTGTATCGTTTTCCAGACATTTATAAATTCTAATTGATTTTTAGTTTTGTATCTTATATTTTTCAAAATTGATGCATGATTTCATTTAGCATTAATTTAAAGTGAGTTGAGTTTTCAAGACAATTTGCACATTTATAGATATAATATTTACATATCGATATTGATAACATTATTATATTTATGATTGGTAGTTCCAAAAATGATTTTAACATCATTGAGTTTTAAACCACCATCTGAATATGGTTGAGTTATAATGCTGCGTTTTATCCTATCAATATTTGTACCCCAAATAAATTAAAATAAATCGGAATTTAGTTTTTTAATAAATTCTTTTGAGGGATTTGGAAGTGAAAGAAATAAATGTACCAACTTTGGAATTATAAGCGTTTTTATTACTGTTACTTTACCTATGGGAGTTAAATGTCTTTGTTTCCATAGCGATAGTAAAGTGCCTATCTTGGAATATTGTTTGTTATAATTAAGAAGAATCATATCATCAAGGTTTATACAAAAATCAAGTCCTAGTAATGATAAAGATGAAGACGTAGATGTCTTACTACCTAATCTTTCCAATACAAGGGGAAAATATTCGTACACGAAAAATACCCATCTACCTTTCGGATTTTAAAGTTTATTCTAGGTTTCAATACCAATTATTTTGTTCATTCACCAGTTCACCCTCGCGGAAATCGATCAAAAAGTGTGCTTCAAGAGGCATCTTAAAAATACAAGTGGGATGGGGTATGTAGAAATTTAAAGAGTGAGTGAATCAGTGGAAACGCTATTCAGGCTATACAGGAGGGGCAAGTGCATCTCCAGGAAAATATGTACACAACTTCATTTCTAGGAAATATCAGTTCGATTTTTTGGACGTTTTTGCCCAAAACACCATCAGTACACCATCAGACCCTTCACAGGAGGTTTGCGCCTATTGTTCTTTTACAGTGGTTCCACAGTGCTTTAGCATTTGGAATCTTAATCGCGAAAACTTTTCTGCTACCTGTTTCAATCCCCATGCTGCCTTTTTACGCAAACAACCAAAAGCTTTCAGCAGATAATCTTTGTTGAGGTTTCCTCACTTCTTGCTCTAGTCAATGCGAACTGTGTAGACAGTGGTGTGAATGTAACTTTGTGATGAAAAGGAAATAACTGATAATAGTTTTGCCTTCTTGATTTATACCAAATTTACAACATATAAATAAATACGTGGGAAATATATGGTTTCAAAAACAAGCCGAAGCTTATATAAATTAGCTACCAGTTATAGTTTTACTTTCAAATATACAATTATAAGTAAGGTTGTAATTACATTTCTATTATATGTTATGATGCCGGTCGTGTAGTGCGGAAAAGTGACAAGTGTAGGAGAGAAGTGTGCTTTTAACCTGGAGTCGAGGGAATGAGACAGTGTTCAACGTAAGTAAATACTTATGTTATGCATAGTGAAACGGGGGCATGCTCAAAGTATCGGCTGCGAGATGACCAAAGCTTTGCTCAGAGGTTATATGGAATAAACACATGAATAGTATGACATTATGACACTTTAACCGCTTTGTAATTGATATTACTGACAGTACCACTAAAAATATGACTGTTGATTTTGTTATGCACTGTATTTGTTTTATTTAGATATTTGTGTGGATAGTCTGGTTACGTTGAGATTTGTCGTTTGTATATAAATGCTTATTAATTATACATTTTATATTTTCCACACATATATTAAAACCTATTGGAAAGGCAATAAGACATGCAGCATGAAATCGTGAAATGTGTGCGTATTTAGTAGCCGAAATGTCAAATGAAATTCTAACACAGCGGTCGTAAATCTCTACATTGTGGTATTGAGTAATGATATGGTAGAAGCTCACGTTTCAATGTCTGGGATATCTACCAGTGTGTCATAACTTATCAGGAGGGAGTGTCATCTCGTCATCTGACGTTCCTCGTTGATAGTTGTAAAAAAAACGAAGGTAACTTCATGGGTCAGTAAATATAAAAACAGTTGGTATAACACAGGACATTCATATTGCATCAGAAATATGACTGATTTGCCACGTTTGGTGAAACTCGGGCAAACATTGATTGAATAATAGTATAGTGAAAGTTATTTTGTAAGTTTTATCCAGAAAGAAATTGGAATTCAAAACTCTAGACGATGTTTACCATCCATGTGATGTTATCAGTCGCTGTGCTCGAGCAATTACATCATTACTGTAATCATTACCAGTTGTACCAATATCCATACGTGCTACGGTGCCTACATTACCTACTCCGGCGTTATAGGCTGATACACCACCTTTTACGTAGAAAAGAACAGAAAATTGTGCATGGGTCGCTGCTATTAAATTATCCAGGTTTTTCATGTGGACAGCATCTGATACTTGAACATTGATGCTATTAACTGTAAATGTCAACTACTGTATCATAGTCATATACCGTAAATGAGTCTAGATTAGTCAGCAAACTCTCAAAACGAATCAATATAATTTTGATAATTGATCGGCATCACTGTCAAAGGTAATATATATGCTAAGAAACAATAGTGCGCCTAAGTGAAATCACGAAACATACATAAGAGTTTGGACACATGGACGAACAATTCAATACAAACCTTTCAGTTGGTTTTCAGCAGACCAAGTTGGGTGTTTTCTTTTAACTTGATCCATATATGGAACTAAGATGACTCGTGTCATCATATCTATGTGAGCACAACTATCCCATCCATATTTAGTACATTGAGAACCAAGACCAGATGCGTGTAAGTCACACTGAAATGAAAAGACACAAATGAGGCTCATGAAGTGTTATTAAGATGTTTAAGGCTTGGTTGCAGTGAAGCATGTGAATAATAAACGTTAGATGATTTGACACACGCGCCATTGCAACAATTATATTGATAGGCGTCAGTAATATAATAATCTAATGGTTGGTTTGGGAAAACGAAAAAAAGGTCAGTAGGTTGAGGATGCCTTATAAACAATCTTATGCCATGAAATTCACGGAAAGTCTGTATTGTTTCTACAGAAATCGCGAAGATAATTCTATTTCTTACATGTCACATTAGCTTATTTCATTTCCATCTAAATTTACATCCATAATAATTTACCTTGTAGCCATCAAATTAGAAATCCGAGTGTGGATGACAAATCATATTGGACATCAATATTAAAGGAGGCATGCAGGTTAGATTTATCAACTTAGTTTGACAGTCAACAGGGCAGTATGTCAGCAGTAGACGCCATAAAATATCCCTCGGTACTACTGACATTATCCAGATATATTAGATTAAGAAAAATACTCTGAAAACCAGTTTGCTCAAATCAATAAATCCGTCGCTAAGATAAGAAATACTTATATCAAACTTTCAACAACATACATCAAATGCTAAGATTTAACACCAACCATGTACTTACTTTATTGTCTATAACTTTTAAACTGATATTTATAATGTTTTGATCAGAATCATCGAATTCATGTATATAATATTTTTCTTATAGAAACAACCGACTATGACGCCCTCAAACATAAAGCTTTATCAGACAACAGTATATCTATTCTGATATATCTATATCTGTTGCAATTTTACTGGATTATAATGAAACCCATTTTGTCCTTACCTGCATAATACCCCAAGCTCTGTGATTATCTCCCCAGCCTCCAGTTCTATACAATAACTTACCACCTCTTGTTTCTCTGCTGGCAACGGCAGCGATTACTGCTGGATGGACACCTGGTGGTAAAGAAATATGAGTCTTCAGAGATTTCATATTGAGAAAATCCGGCAAAAAGCTTATGTCCTCGGTGTTCCTATGATAACAAGAAGAGAAAAAGCCAGGAAAAATAAATGTCCTCGGGGTCTTCATGATAACATGCTGAGGAATCCCGATCACATCCTCAAGGTCCTCAAGTTGATATGATGAGAAAGTCGGCATAAAATCAACTTCTTCGGGGTCCCTGTGCGATTGGAAAGCCAGGGAATAGGCAACGTTATCAGGACAATTGCATCTATCAAGATAACATCTGTTGCGACTTTTCAATTATAATCAACATGTGATATAACAGTAACAGTCTATATTATCAGGTTGAATGATTGTATTTCACTTCATTTCCATTAAAGCCGAGACAGATATCCAGTATATAGAATTCAAAACAATTTCATCACTAACAACAATATGTATATCTTAATCGTAATAACCTTCTATAAAAAGGCGACAGTAGGAGCATCAGCAATACAACTAAATAAATATTTAAATTTGAATAATCAGATCCTTTTTTATTAGGGTCAGTGTCAGTTACAGTGCCATTTTTTAAGCAATCCTCTATTCATATTTATTCAATAAGAAATTATATTATTAAAAGGCGAATTTACAAAACTTACAGTTGTTTGTACCCGCTTGTACATAACATGATTTTCTCTTGTTCAATTCTGCAAGGTCATTGTCCAACATTTTGTAAGAAGCCTGTGCACCTATCACAATAAATCATAATAATAGTTCATATTTTATAACGCGTAACTACAAAGGTATCAACTACAGCATAATGTGGTTAAAAGTATGAATTTATTAGGCTATTAATTAATTTAATTAATAGGCCAGTAAGATAACGACCAAATAGATGCAGTCAGAAATATTCTCGAATTTGAAAGCAAAATGAAAGCCTTTGATCACATTGATCCAAGATTTTTAGTTGTACAAAATAAAGCATAATTTCAGAAAAGAGTTTAAGTTTACCTCCATAATGGATACCATCTTGAGAAGCAGTTCTACTACTAGCGCCTGTTGGGTGAAGTTTCATAACATCGCCGTGACAATTGTAACTGCCGCCTATAAGAACACAATCATCAAACGATGATCTTTAATACAAACAAACTTGAATGAGAAGTTAATCGTTTTATATGTTCTGACGTTTACAACAATAGCGTGTAGAATTTATATTTCATTTATTTAATAACAAGAATCTTTTTGTAAATGATGTTTTTATACAGTTTACAGACAGACAATTACAATAGCGTAGGTAGAAGGGGTCAGCAATTTATCATGATTTTAGTTTTTCTATTACTCTGGTATTTAAGACTGTAATATATAATATGTTATTTAGGAAATGACTGTCTCTAATGGAGAATATTGTTACACGAATCATGTAAAAGTACAATCGATAAGTTTTTTTTTAGTACGACCAATGACAATATACGATCAATGCATCAAGATCAGTCTAAAATCTAGAACAAAGTCATGTGTATTCATGTAAAGCATAATGGAGACTCTTGAAACGCATGGCTGTTCTTTTTTTGATTGGTTCATAGATTTTCTCTATATATTGTTGGTATACTTTTGAGCCTAAATTTGTTGATCCTTACCAAGGCTCTGAAAGCAATTTCAGACAAAACTATTTCAGTAATCAGCCGAAGGAAAAACAACAAAACTGTTACGATTACGACTGTTCTCTATTTCCATTATCTTCAACATATATCGAGACTAGATCAATTATTATTTAGAAAATGATTAAGAAAACAGACTGGAGCGTTGTAGAAAATCCCCATGAATTAAACAATAATCAGGTGGATTTCCGCCAGATAATTCTACCAGAGTATGACTCTGATTTTATTCTACTATAAAGGATAGAAAATGGTTTAAGTAAAAAGCAATTTATTTCTGGACAAAATTGTCATTTGCCTTCGTATGCTATTTTCTTATGTGAACATATCTGACAAAAGGTAATCGTCTACGGAATGGCTCATAACCTTAGTGCAGTAATTTATTACAAATTCCTGAAAGCAATTGTTTTAATAATATGACCTACTCGATGAGCCGCCACAAGTATTTGAAGTAAAACAGCACACATTGGAACCGGAGCATAGACTGCCGAGTTGTAAGCCATTGGCACAACATCCACTTTTAACACACCCGATACCCTTTTTACCAGCATGGGTACCAGTTAGCACATGACTTGTACATTGGTCACCTATTTAACATAAACTTGGGATAAGTAATCAGAAACTTGAGATAAACTTTAAGGACTCGCTAACATTAAGAGAATCCTTTTCAGATTTTTGTGTGTGTACATAAAATGTATTCATATCTAGAAAAAAAGGACCACAACTGACATGGATGAAGAAAAGTTGTAAAAACCCGTACTACTTTTGACCAGACGTAATTTTAGGTAGAAAATGAAGTATTTTCAAAATTCTATAACTAACCTACTTAGATATAGCAAAATAGAAACTTTTTAAGTCGCACTTAACATCAATAACAATATTTACCGACAATTTATTAGATATGCACCAGAAATTTCAATAATAAAAGGCCATTGCTTCAGTTGTCAACAAGAGTATATTAAAAATAGTTTAAGTGGAAACTGCAAGCTGGTTTGTTTGTTTTATTGGAGTTTAAATGAACTTGAGAAATTAAAGTTAAATTTTGCAAAGTTTGGTTTACCTGCTGCAGATGCAATGATTCCTAGACACAGTATCAATAAAATCATGTTCACACTATAAAATTGTACTCAATCATTGATAAGAGTTTATATGTGGGCATTCATTATACTGAACATGTGTTCCATTCTCACTCCCTGTCTTATCTTCCGTGTTTTTCCCAACGTTTTAGATTGTGATTTTACGTCAATTTTCATTTATCATTGGACATTCGGGCATTGACACCTCTCTGAAGCACTAAAGTCACATGAAACCATCAAGTCAAAGATAATATACTTCTGTAAAAGCTTTGATAGTTGCTTTATCACGTCATCACTGCGTGATCTCTATTGGTCTAATGAAACTGGTGTTAACAATTCAGTACTAAAGGTAATTGGGCTATTTGGTAAAATATTTCTTTCTGCACCTGATCGGGAAAATTTAGGAGAATATACCCGGGCAGTGGCTAACCCTTTTCACTTTGATCTTAACCAACATAATCTTTGTGTGCAATTCTATGAAGTTCTTAAAGGGGTTGGTTTATGTCCCATTAAAAGGACTTGGTCCCTTTTCAAACACCACTTTTCTTTTTTCAGTACTTTAACTATGACTTGATGCATTTCAACAGTAAGCTAGTATGTCAAATAATTTCTTCAAAACTACACGTTTTCATGATAGTTGTTAAAGGGAATCCTTTTATCTTGCTTGGGGAAAACCTGTTCAAATATTTAGTGCACCCACTCTATGTTATATAAGGTGGAATAGTTTTTCTGACTTAAATCTTTGTGAAAACGATTATCGGCAATGTCAGGTTAAATCACGACTTCCTTTCAGAGACATATCGGTCATAGGTCAAGACGGTGAACCTTTTATTAGAATTAGAACAAAAATGTCCGCTAACTAAATTTGTAATTAAAATCGAATTAAATCTTTAGACACCTTTTTTGTTTATCCGAGGGCGAAAATTTGTTAAGTATACTGATGCAATAAATTTGAGATTATGAAAGATTTTAACAGTCAAAATGTCAAAATGTGTCAAACATATGAGAATATTGGACATATTAACCTAATGGAAATGTCTTGTTAAGTGTTCAGTTATTGGCTTGGTAAGTTGATACTGAAACACTTCAGAACGAAAATAGATAGACCCAGATGCTGGTGAACTCGGAAGCGAAATCACAATATGTTATTCAAATATACAATATAACACATTTCGCGGACAAACAATCAAGTTATTCTAGAGAAGTGCGATATTGGTATTTGTTGATCAGACAGAAACCAGAAAGATACACAGAAATCCGTGATGTAGAGTTGAGTTGATTTTCACAAAGACAAAATAGCCAATCCCATCTGAATACTATGATATTTCGTCAGTGAAAAAAATCTTATCTTATCGATAAAACCTCTTAAGGGAATGTAGCTCTGGTGGTAAAATAATTTAGTTCCTTTCAGTTCTTATCATTCCAATATTAACCTTACCCTGAGGATCCTCCATTACTAATTATCGATATAAGTATCGATCAACTTTTTCTCCTTTAAAAAAGCTAAATAGTAAAAGAAATACAAGTATAATCTGCATATGAATATAAGATTATGGTATACTATGCTTTGTTCAGTATCGTATATATGTGTGGTAAATTAGTTGTGAAACTACACAGTGTCCCGTAAAACAATCATCTCTTTGAAACAGTTTCAGAGAATATGTTTTCAAATTTTCTCGTGGAACGTATTGGGAATAGGGCGTTGTCGTGAATAGTAAACTTTGCATCTTGATAGTAAACTCGAGGTACTGCAAAAACGTCATTGTAGCTGGTCTCCACTTTACCAACAGTTACTATCTGTAATGGTTAAAGTTGGCACCATTTTAGAACCTCGTAGGTACAATCTTGGAGAAATTAAGACAACCATTCTACTGTCATTGATCTCTCGATATTGCCAGGCAAATTCGTTGATCGTATGTATAGAAAGTTTGCTTGTTCGTCTTAGGAATTTAAAAGGCAACCCCCGTCACAAGATGCCACTGATGAACAAATCAATTCTTTTCACTATAGTTAATAACTAGGATATGACAGTCCTCAGTCTGGCCTTTCATATGTCACATCATAACCTTTTTTAATCTGCTATTATAACAGTATTTGTATTGTAAACAGGCCATAAAACTGCCAAGTCCATGCAAAATATATAGGTTCGACTGTTTGCTAAAAATCCATCTAATAGAATTACTCAAATAATTAAAACACAGAGAATGCACTGCACAACCCATTGATGCTATACAAACTTATTTTTCTATTGCATCAAATTCAAAGCTTCATAAAATAGTAAGATGTATAGGTAATCAGAGGCTTCAAAATATATATATATATCCAGGAAAATAATATTACATATACTAAACTTACATTGAATTTCGCAACACCTACATTCTTTTTGTGTAATGTGTAAGCCATAAAGCTATAATTAAAACTCGAACGTTCTAAATGGAAACAGAATAATTGTTCAGAGTAAAAAAACAACGATCACATGTATAAAGGAAATCATCTTAAGTTCCGATAACAAAGAACTCTCTTGCCATTCTCCCCTTTTCTTTATTCTTTGAATCGTTTTCATATTGCACAAGAACTGTATGTAGGTCATGGAAAAGTAAAAAAATACATAAAAAGATTACCTAAGAATTACATAATAGCACAGTGGTTCTTTTTTCAGTCTTCACACCTCTGGAGTAGTCATTTGAACCCCTCACACCCCTAAAATAATGGACAATCAAAACATTTGAAATTTTATAATTTTTATTCAAACTAATCATAATAATCACACATAATAATGGATATATAATCATACGGCCGTAATAAGATGGGAAGGCTGGTGCTGATTTCTTTAGAACCATATAATATCCCTCATAACAAACATCTCCTACAACAGTTGTCCACACCCCAGTCCCACGCCCCAGGGTGTAGCAGTAATAGAATATATTTATATTTATCATCTGTTAAAAAATGTATCAAGGGATACATTGTCTAGTTTATAGTTATTTTAATTAATATTCAATTTGTCTCCAAGGATCCATTGGTTGTCACGTTGTTTGAGTCATGGAAATTAACAGTTAGTGATAGAATTATGTTCGGATCCCTTGGGAGGTAAGATGAACTAAAATGTCTACTTTTCATAAACAATGACTGACTATATTATATAAAATCTCAGCGAAGGCTTTGACAGATAAGTTTGATATAATCGGTCGTGTATTATAAGACAGGATGTAACCATAGATCTGTTCAATTTTAAGTAATTAAAGTTAAATTTAATTTTAAGACCTACACCCTATGTTTCTGCACTTCTCGTGCAAGAGCGTTTTTGTGATGAATGCCATCGACACCTACGACATAAGCATAAAAACTGCAACATTTGT